TCTATTCTTTTTATACTAATTTTTGCCGTTTATTCAGCACTTTTTGCCCAATATTCTCTATTCTGTAAACCCCATCCAGACCCTCATAGATGCCTTATGTTACGAAGTTTCCATCTGTCATATGTCCATTGTCCTAGACCTCATTTTCATGGTTCAGCAACTGCTTATATGCATTCCTTGCAAGGTCTTCATGACCATCAGACATGAATCTTCTGACCCCATTCTCGACCTCATTTCATGTATCAGTGATGACAGTGATCAAGGTTAAAGTTACATGATTAATTTCGTTTCTCAGATACTATAAGCAGTAGGTCAACTATATTTGGTGTTTGTAATGATTGTAAGGTGTACATGTCAGTCTAGCAGGTTTATTCTAACATTTACCTCATTTTCATGATTCATTGGTCAATGGTAAGTTTTGTGTTTTGGTCTGTTATTCAAATACTATCTGCAATAGGTCAACTATATTTGGTGTACGGAATGGTTGTAAGATGTACATGACAATGATGTCTGTCTAGCAGGGTTCATCTGTCCTTGACCTCATTTTCATTGTTCATTGGTCAATGACAAGTTTCTGTAGTTGGTCCTCTTCTCAGATACTATAAGTAAAGGTTAACTATAATGTGTGTGTTAAATGATTGAAAGGTGTACATGTATGTCTGGCATGTATCATCTAACCTTGACCTTATTTTCATGTTTCATTGGTCAATAGTAAGTTTTCATGGTTTTGTCTGTTTCTTGGATACTAAAAGCAATAGGTCAACTATTTTTTGGTTCAAGGAATGATCGTAAGCTGTATATGTCTGTCTGTTATGTATCATCTGACCTTAACCTCATTTTCATAGTTCATTGGTCAATATTACATGTTTCTTTGATACTATAAGCAAAAGGTCAACTAAATTTAGTGTATGGAATGATTTTAAGGTGTACATGTCTATCTGACCTTGACCTTATTGTCATCGATCATTGATCATGTCAAGTTTATGTGATACTTGTAGTAAAACATTTATTTTTAAGACTTTCAACATTTATTCAATCATGGTCAGTAAAGCAGGCGAGAAATTTTCATATGTGTCCTCTTGAAATGGCTTAATTGGAAAAATTGCTGAATTTTTCGTTTCTGTTCTCTAACTTAAGTTTGCCTCAACCAAATGTTATGAAGCTTATACACAATACTTATTACCACAAAACTCAGATCAAGTACAAATTTAGGTAGCGTCACATCTACCGTTCTTCAGTTATGTCCCTTTATAACTTTATATGATATGCAAGCGGGGGGCATCATCTGTGTCCCATTGACACATTCCCCATTTATTTTCTTTGTGCTTGAAGATATTGATTTGATATTTGGTGTATTGTTTAATCATGACAAGTTACAGATCAAGTTCGAATTTTGTTCCGCTCTGACGATTTTGTGCAGAATTATGGTCCTCTTTTTTTTTGTCATGCTTGAAGATATTGATTTGATGATTGGTATATAGTTTTATCATGACACGTTACAGATCAAGTTCGAATTTTGTTCTGGTCTGATGATTTTTTGCAGAGTTATGGTCCTTGGACTTAGAAAATTCACTCAGATAATCAATTTTCCACATTTTTGTTCGTCATGCTTGAAGATATTGACTTGATATTTGTTATATAGTTTACACCATGACAAATTATAGATCAAGTTAGCATTTTGTTCCAGTACAATTATTTTTTAACGGTAGGGGACTATGTATTGCCAGGCAATACTCACAGAATGCTTGTTTTACATGTACTTAAAATGCCATTTATGTAGAATATTTTACATTATAATTCAAGTTCTTATTGTTTCTTCTTTTCTTCTTCCAGAAAGATATTATGAAGAAATTAGGACAAATAGATTTTGCAAAAGAGAGATTTGAACTACAGGAACAATCTAGACATCAACAGAGACAGTCTTTACTGGACAACAAATTAAAACCAAAAAGTTGATTGTTAATCTGTATAGTTAGTTTGTATATAATTATCTATTAAATTTTGTACACTAGAGCTTATTTTATTTTTTAGTACATTTTGACTGCAAGAGTTACCAGAAATATGTAATTAATGAACATATGGCATCCATCTATCCGTCTGTCTGTAGAAGGCTATGTATGAATCAAAAGAGAAGTAGAGTAAGCATCAATTAGACAGCATCTCGACAACACAGAAAAACAAGACATCCAGATGTCAAAATAATGTCTTTAGAAATAGTATGTTAAGCTCTAAATTGTCCAGAACCTACAACTGTTGTGAAAACATTAAACTCTGGCTATCAAAGACTTGCTATAACAAAAAATAACACCATGTTAAATGAATTTTGTGAGTTATCTTTTACTCTCCTATTACATTTATATTGATGTACAAAGAACTAAGGTAGCAACTATCCAATGTAGGTCAGAGGTTGACTATAATTTACATTGTTGGTAAATGAATTTTAATTTGAACTCTGTGGTCTTGTGATAGCATGCTTGCATAGAGACCGAGAAGTTTTGGGTTCAAACCCTGGCCTGGTATTCCAAGACTTAAAATAACATGATAACAACAGTAAAATATTTAAAAATTCTACTTTTGGATATTAAAAATGGCGATAATTCACAAAGGAGATATACTAAAATCTTGAAAATTAATAGAGACCTTCATTAAGTCCCAGGAAACAACATATTTAAATTTGAAAAAAATTTGTTAAAGCGTTTCATGTTATTGTGCTGACACTTTTTGGCAGCCGCCCGCCATATATCACCATTTTAATAACCGATATTTCCTTCGAAAATCCGGTTAATAAGTATTTGCTGTTTGTCACAATACAGCAGATAAAGAAGAGAACAAAGACTGGTTAGCTCATATTCATGAAAAATGTATCAGGGTAGGGTGATGTCTCCATGTGAACCTTGTCCCTTAGCATGTTAAATTTGCAACTCCACCATTTCAAGTTGAGAACAGAGTATGATAGCTTTACCTGTTATCTTCTTGAATATGCATGCAATATTTGCTGATAAGATATTTGCAGCAGTCATCAATCAGTAACAAGAAACACTTCAGGACAGGCAGAGTTCATAATACATATTTGAAGCTTGACAGATCAATTCTGAACAAATATCAATAACAAAGATTTCCATGAATCTTCATGTCAAGTTGGTACATCATATGAAGTAATATAATGTGTTAGACCTCTTGAAGGGGTGATACTTGAAACTTGAATCCTAAAGTAAAATGGAGTGAGGGATATAATCTTAGTAGCTTGCTTTAGTTATCCTTATTTACATGTACCAAGATCAGTGGTCACGTTGCTTTTCTAAAGGTTATCCCTCTTGAGGAAAAACAGCAATAAAATTGCAAATCTTTGGATGTGCGTTAATTTTCTAAGATTTCATAGATTTGTTGTCATATGAATATCCATTCCTTTTTAATATCACTGAAAACTTCAAGGTCACTCAAAGAAGATAAAATCAACTTGCATTTAATGTTTTATTTCATACATGTATTTAAGTACTCAATTACAGATCTGTTAAAAGTAGAGATAATGCCATGTAAACAATTGCTAGGTGGAGCTGCATACATTATAAAGTTGTTTAATCAGTGTATTCTCTTCTCATGTTAACATAAACAGACAAATAAAAAAGTAAACACTGTTTCTGTTAAGGGATGCATCTAATGTTTATCAACACTCTTATTAAGTGGGTAAATATGTCATATTCATCAATTGACTACTTAGATCAAAAACATATTTTATTGAACACAAACAAGTAAAGAGATTTCCATGTAATCTCAGTCTTTAAAAAAAGTAGCACTATAATTTAAGGTTTTTTCAATATAATACATTTTAATATCAGACTTCCAGAGCAAAATAAAATTTGATATAATTCATGATGATGATGGACCTCAAATATCAAGCCTTACTTCTGATGAAATTTGGCTTTTTTAAATATCTGTATCACCCTCACTGTACCCGAGTCCTAAATTAAAAGATATCACTGTAAATATGTAATTAACAGATTACTACATATTTTATCCACAGACAGCCCTGGCTATCCTCCATGGACTTATACTGAACTAAAAAAAGAGTTGTCAGTTTAAAATAAGAATTGTGTGATTATATCGTAGTCAATATTGAAAATACCAAGTTATTGTATAGCTTAAATAAAATCCCACTTTTCCTTCTAAAATAATAAATTTGTAAGGCATTTAAATGAGACAGCCTTACCATTTTCTTTATACTAGTTTGCACCAACTGACCAACTTCTATATGAAATCTTTAAATATGCACATAATGACAAATTTGTGTATCATATCACTTTTACATACCAATTGACAAACTTGTATATCTTTAGATATCATTTACACAAAATGTCACTTCTTGCATATGCACTTACTGATTCAATTTCTGGGCCTTTTTACAGCTTGCTATGTGGTTTGGGTTTTGCTCATTGTTGAAGGCAGTGACCTTTAGTTGCTAACCTTATATGTCATTTGGTCTCTGGTGAAGAGTTGTCTCTTTGGCAATCATACCACATCTCCTTATTTTTATATTGCATATATTTAATGGTTGTTCCATCTTATTGGGGATTTGAAAAGATACTAAGTAAAACTGTATGTTTCCACTTTTGTATGTTCCATTATGTCAGTGGATGTTTTTTTTTCTAATCTACAGTGAAAACTGTTTTAAATACTTGTTTAAAGAACTGAGATGCTTAAAATTTCTGATAGCCTTATAGAACTTATTATATAACAAGGAATTATTTGAATCTGGAATAATTTTGAATTCTGGAAAATTGATTTGAAATGTATGATGAAAACTAACCCAACTAAACAGGGTTAGCCATGCGTGCATGGCTAAGGTTAATTTTACTTTCACTATCATTTCAGTATGAACTAACTAACCCCCCTTAGCCATGCGCGCATGGCTGACCCTATTTAGTTGGGATAGTTTTCATCATATATTTCTCATCAATTTTCCAGAATTCAAAATTATTCCAGATTCAAATAATTCCTTGTTTAACAATAACCATACAATTTGCATAACAAAAATATATTGAAATTTTCCAACCCATAAAGCAAGATTAAAGTAAGACATAAATTCAATGTGTAGTAAATGACAATATAACTGTCTCTTTTTGCATTAAATTTACAAAAATCAAAATAACAAATTATTGACTGTTTTTTGCACATGATTTTAAAGAAAAAATCTCAAAAATAAATTATGTTCTAATAAATAGTATCCTGTCGTCATGACAACTTCATCTGAGCAAATTTTCTGGCAGTTTGTAAAGCATCCTGTAGAGCATCACAACTTGAACCTGTGGCTTGTGCTGAAGCATCACTGCCACCACCTTTACCACTGATAAGTGGTGCAATCTCTGTCACCCAGGCTTTAGCACTCAGTCCGGCAGCTATTGATGACTGGAAAAAACAAATGATGTTATAGTTAATAGAATTTTTTTTTAAATATTAAAATTACCCTTATTCTAACTTTATCTAGTTTATTAAAGTCATATGATACTTCAAATTTTAAAAAAAAGTTGAATATGTTTTATATACGTGAATGGATAAGTTTCTATAAAACAAGTGTTTTAAGCCTCTGGCCTTTGTTAGTCTTGTATCATTTTTAGCTCACCTGGCCCAAAGGGCCAAGTGAGCTTTTCTCATCACTTGGCGTCCGTCGTCCGTCGTCATTAACTTTTACAAAAATCTTCTCCTCTGAAACTACTGTGCCAAATTTGACCAAACTTGGCCACAATCATCATTGGGGTATCTAGTTTAAAAAATGTGTCCGGTGACCCGGCCAACCAACCAAGATGGCCGCCATGGCTAAAACATAGGGGTAAAATGTAGATTTTGGCTTATATCTCTGAAACCAAAGCATTTAGAGCAAATCTGACATTGGGTAAAATTGTTTATCAGGTCAAGATCTATCTGCCCTGAAATTTTCAGATGAATCCGACAGCCCCTGAATTGGTAATTTTAAGGAAATTTTGCCTTTTTGGTTATTATCTTGAATATTATTATAGATAGAGATAAACTGTAAACAGTAATAATGTTCAGCAAAGTAAGATCTACAAATAAGTCAACTTGACCAAAATGGTCAGGTGACCCCTTAAGGAGTTATTGCCCTTTATAGTCAATTTTTAACCATTTTTCGTAAATTTTTGTAATCTTTTACAAAAATCTTCTCCTCTGAAACTACTAAGACAAATTTAACCAAACTTGTCCACAATCATCATTAGGGTATCCAGTTTAAAAAATGTGTCCGATGACCCCGCCCACGAACCAAGATGGCCGACATGGCTAAAATAAACAGCTGCGCCATGAGCGCATGATACGCCCGTCGTCTTGTGTGTAAATTTTTATGCAATAAGCATAAATAGTTTCTGACATACGGCATGACATGCGAAAACCCCCTTTTTTTTTACAAAAAACTCAATATCTCTAAAATAAAATTTTGAATCAAAACCAAAAAGTATACAGATCTTTAGATTAATATAACTAAGAAGTGTGTAAAATTTTAAGCAATAATCATAAATCGTTTTAGAGATACGACGCGACATGTGAAAAACCCCTCCCCCTTTTTTTACAAAAGACTCAATAACTCAAAAATAAAATTTTGAATCATCACCAAAAAGTATACAGATCTTAAGGTTAATATAACTAAGAAGTGTGTAAAGTTTTAAGCAATAGTCATTAACTGTTTTTGAGATACAGCACGACATGTGAAAAACCCCTCCCCCTTTTTTAACAAAATACTCAATATCTCTAAAATAAAATTTTGAATCATCACCAAAAAGTATACAGATCTTAAGATTAATATAACTAAGAAGTGTGTAAAGTTTTAAGCAATAATCATAAATTTTTTTTGAGATACGGCGCGACATGTGAAAAAAAACACACACCTGTTTTAGTTACTAAGTCCCGTAACTCAAAAAGTTTTAATCTTATTTTCACCAAAAAGTATACAGATCGTTTGACCATCATAAGAAACAACTATGTTAAGTTTCATGAAATTTGGATAAGTCATTCTCAAGTTACGGTGCGACATGTTTACGCCGGACAGACAGACGGACAGACAGACGGACAGACGCCGGACATTTGTATAACATAATACGTCCCGTCAAAAATTTGACGGGCGTATAAAAATAGTACATAGGGTAAAATGCAGTTTTTGGCTCATATCTCTGAAACCAAAGCATTTAGAGCAAATCTGATGAGGATAAAATTGTTCATTAGGTCAAGATCTATCTGCCCTGATATTTTCAGACCAATCAGGCAACACGTTGTTGGGTTGCTGCCCCTGAATTTGTAATTTTAAGAAAATTTTGCAGCTTTTGGTTATTATCTTGAATATTATTATAGATAGAGATAAACTGTAAACAGCAATAATGTACAGCAAAGTTAGATCTACAAATAAGTCACCATGACCAAAATTGTCAATTGACCCCTTAAGGAGTTATTGCCCTTTATAGTCAATTTTTTACAATTTTCATAAATTTTGTAAATATTTGTAAATTTTTACAAAATATTTTCCACTGTAACTACAGGGCCAAGTTCATTATAGATAGAGATAATAGTAAGGAGCAAGAATGTTCAGTAAAGTAAGATCTACAAACACATCACCATCACCAAAACACAATTTTATCATGAATCCATCTGTGTCCTTTGTTTAATATGCACATAGACCAAGGTGAGCAACACAGCCTCTTTAGAGCCTCTAGTTAATTTTAGTTTCTTGTGTATAATTTGGAGTTTAGTATGACGTCCATTATCACTGAACTAGTATACATATTTGTTAAGGGGCCAGCTGAAGGACGTCTCTGGGTGCGGGAGTTTCTCGCTGCATTGAAGACCCATTGGTGGCCTTCGTCTGTTGTCTTCTCTATGGTCGGGTTGTTGTCTCTTTGACACATTCCCCATTTCCATTCTCAATTTTATGTACATGGACTTTCTTGTAAAAGAAAACCCTTTATCAAAATATTCACAAATGTACTGCTATTGAATTATTGTCTTCCCGTACACTAGTTTGCCGATATTTTTCCATATGCAGTGACCTTAACTACGAGACCTCTTGTTAGAAATTCACCCACCGCACAGAGCAATCGTGAGGGAAAAACCATGATGAAAGAATTAAACAAACGTGCACTGGAAGGTAAATAGTAATAACTCATTCTTAAATACCTAATTGAATACACCAAATCATTTAACAACTGTTATGAAAAAGTTAACAAATGGGAATCCATGGAAAATATGAAAAAAAAGTTTACATCACTATATCAATTAACTTATTTCCCACATGCTACACGACTCTGTGTTGATTGTTTATCAATGTCACGATCTGGTAAACTTCGACAACAAAAGTGAATTAGGTTGCAATCAACAATCACTTAATGAAATGTTATTTGTCAATAATATGTTATCGAGTAATAAATGTAAAATACATGCATAGAGGACTTAGTTTAGTATATAAGCATGCATTGGTTCAATAATTTCCTGAATATTAAAATTACAAGAAACTCGTTTCATACGACTTTAAACATCTTGGTACTTAAACAAATCTAAGGTCAGAAACATTTATAAGATTTTGGTACACAATTGCAAGCAGTGACTGAAATCTGATAGTTATGCAAGATTGTCTCTTCCAAGTTGTGTTTAATTTTATTTACCATCATGCTGTCCAGCCTAACAATATGTGATTTTTGTTTTTTTATTTTATATGGTAATTAAATATTGCTCCTTCAAAGTAATACCTTGATTTACAATTACAGGACAAACAAAATAGAAGGCCTTCAAAGTGTTTAACTATTTCCTAAAAATTGTTTACACTACAACAATTATGTTAAAACATTTTAGTCCAAATTTTGACAATTTTTTCATTTACTAATGTTTAGACGTCTAATATTTCATCTGACAAATGAATGATCAGTTTTTAAAACAAGAGGCTCTCAAGAGCCTGAATCGCTCACCTGTAATTTTTTGCTTAAATCTTTCATCAATGATTATTTTTGCTTTTCAATATATATTCATGAGTGGCTTAAAAATGCCATTTAAATGTTCTTTGTATCTGTTATATTTTCTTCAAAAGCAAAAAAATGCATTTTACCCCTATGTTCCATTTTAGCCATAGTGGCTATGTTTCTTGACATACAAGGAAATAAAATACAAAATTTATACAAGATACTCTGAAACTCATTCAGCCCAAGTTTGGCTGAAATTGATTCAGCAGTTTCAAAGGAGAAGATTTTTTAAAGTAAGCAAACTAGATTATATGAATAAATTGTGAAAAATTGTCTTTAAAGGACAATAACTCCTTAAGGGGTCAATTGACAATTTTGGTCATATGAAACTTATTTGTAGATCTTACTTTGCTGAACATTCTTGCTGTTTACAGTTTATCTTTATCTATAATAATATTCAAGATAATAACCGAAAACTGCAAAATTTTCTTTAAATCATCAATTCAGGGGCAATAACCTAACAAGAGTGTACACGCTGAAATGTCTCGCCTTCTTTACTAACCATTGATATTATGTTGATAGTCCTAAATATTAAGCTTTACTACAACTATCAACCTTACATGCATTCAATACACTAAATATAGTTGACCTATTGCTTATAGTTTCTAAGAAACAGACTTAACCAAGAAAACTAAACATTGACCAAAGAACCATGAAAATGAGGTCAAGGTCAGATGAACCATGCAAGGCAGACATATACACCTTACAATCAACCTATGCATTAAATATAGTTGACCTATTGCTTATAGTATCCAAGAAACAAACTTAACCATGAAAACTTAACATTGACCAATGAACCAACAAAATGAGGTCAAGGTCAGATGATACCTGCCAGACAGACATATACAGCTTACAATCCTATACAAAAAATATAGTTGACCTATTGCTTATAGTTTAAGAAAAACAGACCAAAACACAAAAACTTAACACTGAGCAATGAACCGTGAAAATGAGGTCAAGGTCAAATAAAGCCTGCGAGACTGACATGTGCATCATAAAATATTTCCATACACCAAATATAGTTGACCTATTGCATGTAGTATTAGAAAAAAAGACCAAAACTCAAAAACTCAACTTTGACCACTGAACCATGAAAATGAGGTCAAGTTCAGAATACACCTGCCAGTTGGACATGTACACCTTACAATCATTCCATACACCAAATATAGTTGACCTATTGCATACAGTATAAGAAAAACAGACCAAAACACAAAAACTTAACATTGACCAATGAACCATGAAAATAGGTCAAGGACAAATGACACCTGCCAGACAGACATGTACACCTTACAATCATTCCATACACCAAATATAGCTGACCAATGGCTTATAGTATTAGAAAAACAGACCAAAACACAAAAACTTAACATTGACCAATGAACCGTGAAAATGAGGTCAAGGTCAGATGAAACCTGCCAGACTGACATGTATCCCTTATAATCATTCCATACACCACATATAGCTGACCTACTGCTTGTAGTATCTAAGAAACGGACCTAATCACGTAACTTTAACCTTGATCACTGATCCATGAAATGAGGCTGAGGTCAGGTGAACCCTGTCTGATGGACATGTAGATGTTGCAAGGAACCCATATACCAAATATAGTTATCCTATTACTCATAATAAGTGAGAAATTTACATAACAAAAAAACTAAACTTTTTTATCAAGCAGTCGCTGAACCATGAAAATAAGGTCAAGGACAATGGACATATGACAGACGGAAAGTTCGTAACATAAGGTATCTGCATACAAAGTATGAAGCATCCAGGTCTTCTACCTTCTGAAATATAAAGCTTTATACAAATAGTGTACGCCGCCGTCGTCGCTGCCACCGGATAGTAATACCTATGTCTCACTTTCTGCGACTTTCGTCGCAGGCGAGACAAAAATCAGATACCCGATTTGGCTGATAATTTCTATGTTTTTTTTTATGTTCTATTTTTAGCCATGGCAGCCATGTTTTCTGAGGAAACAGAAAATTAAACACAAACTTTATTCTAGATAACCTGAGAATCATTCAGCTTAAGTTTGGTTTGAATTGGTTTAGTAGTTTCAGAGGAGAAGATTTTTAAAGTTAGAAAACATGATAAACAAATTGTGTAAAATTGTCCTTAATGGGCAATAACTCCTTAAGGGGTCAATTGACAATTTTGGTCATATAAAACTTATTTGTAGATATTACTTTGCTGAACATTTTTGCTGTTTACAGTTTATCTTTATCTATAATAATATTCAAGATAATAACCAAAAACTGCAAAATTTCCTTAAAATTACCAATTTAGTGGCAGCAACCCAACAATGGGTTGTTAGATTCATCTGAAAATTTCAGGGCTGATAGAACTTGACCTAATGAACATTTATACCTCAATATAATGAAGCAATTCTAAGCTTTTTAATTCTGAAATGAAGAGGCCACTTTTGAAAATTTCTGCATACCAACAGTGGGTGAATAAATCTGATGAGTCTCAGTGTTCTCCCCAGGCCCTTAAAGGACTGCGGGCCTGCGATGTATAATTTTTTACCGTGGTGGTATCGTTCTTACCGCGATGTATAATTTTTCTCTGTGGTGCTAAAATTTTCAGTTAAAAAATCGTAAATCGGTAAAGTTTTAAACGACTTGTTAAATCTTTTCCGTGCGGTATAAAATTCCAGGTGAAATTTGACCAGTTCAAACCAGTTCAACACGGATTGTTTACACCACGTAATCGATTTACCTTTATGAGGTTAACCTTTGTTGATTGGATTTAATCGATGTAATTAACACTTTTTACATGATTTATTTGTGTTTTAATTTAGAGATCATAACTTTATGATCAAAGATAACTACTTTAAGGCTTCACTCACCACCTGACAAGTCAGCAAATACTTTGTACACAAACCGTGTTGACCCGATAGTTGTACACACGACAGTACATATTTTGTACATTATAAAGTTAGCTCAATACTTATATTATAGTTTTATATGTCTCTGATTAAACCATGGCCAAAATTATCTTTAATTATGACATAATTATTGCATGATCCGGTTTCAAACTGTCAACAAGTAATTCAAAGGGGAAGGATCACATGACCCAGTTGGTTCACGTAGAATATTCAAGATTATTTACAATTAACTGCAATCTATTCTATTTTATAAATAAAATGCATGACTGTACCTTCAAACTGGATATCTATATCCATATGATCATTAATGAATAACAGAAGTGATCTTGCAATTTTAATCCATAAGCACATGTGAAATCTATTTATATCTACTTCCTGTCATTTAGGCGGGAAAATAGGGAGACTTTGATGTTGACATTGAATATGGTTACTTATAGATCTATAGACCCAAGATAAATTTATAGATTTAGGAATTCTTTTTAAATGGATCATGACAAATAAAGATTTAGATTTCAGTGCAGTATTAAGTCTGTATCTATGTTTGATTATCACCAAAGACAAGAAAGGTTAATATTTACATGTACATGAAATCTATAGCAAAATGATTTAAAATTTATGAAAAATTTCTTTTTATTAAAATTTAAGATAGAAACTGGTTCAAATTATAACACTATTTTGTTCTTGTTAATTTTATATCTCCTTGAGACAGGAATCCTTTCACATACAACAACTTTCTTTCTAGAAACTAGAAAGTTTTTTAAATTGAACATTTTTGTTCTCTTTTGAATCTGGGAACAGTATATCTAACAATATATATGTTCCTGTTTGAATATTTTATTTTTATCGATCATGGATTTTATAAAAGATTTAATTACTTTAAATTTAGATGAATATTATGTAATGAATCATGTTTTATTTATTTTTAAAAAATATTAAAAGTATACAAACTGTTTATTGATCTTTTTAACCAATAATATTCTGACATAACACAGTATTAAAACAAAACAAGAGACATAAAAACTGCAGTAACTAGAAATATAGCGACGCCACACGACACAACTGATTGTATGAATCATTTCACCAAGCTGTTCACACGCGTTACCCTGGTGCTATCCAAAAATCCTGGGGAGAACACTGAGTCTCTAAAGATACTATGTTCCAGTACTCAATTAGATGAGTTGTGAACATACTGTTTTGTTTATTAATTTTTTTATTATAATACCGGTACTATACCTCTAAACAAAGAAAATAACAAAATAATCTGAATAGTTTAAGTCTCACCTTTGGAGCAGAGCTCATACATATAATTTTATTGGCCTCTCTGTCAACTGAGAAGAACATTGCTGCAGTCTCTGGACTCAGGGCTTTGTACTGTTTCATTGCACCATCTAAAGCCTATATCAATAAGAGCAGTAAGTAAAAAGATCAGTATGTAGTACAAATGCATTTCTGCATTAAAACCTTAAGTAGCAGATTTTACTTCAAAAGGTAAAAAAACATGGCAAAATAATGAATTCAAATGTAATTACAAGAAATGAGCTGTCAAATTGACAGCAAATCTGGTTTTCTGTATTTTGACGGTAACCATTGTTCAACATAAGAGGACAACTAGTATGAATGAATTTACGGTAATGTCTTCAAATGTATGGTGCTTTCAGGCTTGTTTAACTTTACACATTCCGTGTGTGCCTGTCTGGACATAAAGTGCCAGTTTCCAATCTATCAAGGACTATAACTCCTGAACAGCAAAAGTGGTATCATCAATATTACACTTGACCTCCATTTTGTCTTTAGTGACAACATATCAAAATTTTACAAAGCATTGTTTGATGGTTCATAAGTTGTTGCACAGAAAAGACATAAAGTGACTTTTTAAAATCTTTCATGGACCATAACTCCAGAATGGCAAAGGTGAATATAGTCATTATTGAAATTGACCTCCATTTTGTAATCGTAACAACATATTAAAATTTGAAAAGCCTTGGTTGACCGATTCATAAGTTATAACACAGAAACTGATGGCAGCTACCCCGTCACCTGTTGACCATTTTTATAACTGGATTTTTCCATGGGAAAACCCTGTTAAAAATCAACACAACTTAACACACATAGAACAGTTAACTGTATTATACATATTGATGAATCTGTTATAGGTTTTTACAATATATTTCCTTGAGGTAAAGTTGGCCTACATAGGTTTGGTTGTTTTGTTAAGGCCATTTTGTTTGTTGCCTTTTTTTCCCAAAAAATTTTGAGTCTCAAGAATGCCTGATGAAGGTTTTTAGATAGACACGTTATGTGCATGGAAATCAGTATCATACATTGATATCATCCATCTCCTGAACCTGATTATTTTTATTGACACATGTGATGAGCATGGAGATCAGTATCATACATTGATATTGTCCATCTCCTGAACCTGATTATTTTTATTGACACATGTGATGAGCATGGAGATCAGTATCATACATTGATATTGTCCATCCCCTGAACCTGATTATTTTTATTAACACATGTGATGAGCATGGAGATCAGTATCATACATTTATATTGTCCATCCCCTGAACCTAATTATTTATTGACACATGTGATGAGCATGGAAAGCAGCATCATACATGTATATTGTCCACCTCCTGAACCTGATTATTTTTATTAACACATGTGATGAGCATGGAGATCAGTATCATACATTTATATTGTCCACCTCCTGAACCTGATTATTTTTATTAACACATGTGATGAGCATGGAGATCAGTATCACATATTTATATTGTCCATCTCCTGAACCTAATTATTTTTATTGACACATGTGATGAGCATGGAAAGCAGTATCATACATTTATATTGTCCACCTCCTGAACCTGATTATTTTTCAGCTAAGACATTCATAACATTGTTTCGTGACAAAACAGGAAGGAAGTCAGAACTGACCAACTCATTTGATTAATCAAACATTTTTTACTGTAACCTATTTGTAAAAGATAAAAAAAATCTAGCATACTTTAGCTATTGATCCAGCCTTGAACTCATGAACAACAAATTTCTCATTTGGACTGGCCTCTATCATCTTCTTTGTTTCCTGCACCACCTAAAAATCAAGTTGAATCCAATAATTATCATACTAGTATATTATAAATATTCAGACTATGAATATGAATAGAATTAAAGAAGCACCATGGGTGCATCATCCTAGTAGTGATCTATATAGATTTGAAGTAGACTAAAGAGATTTTTGTGTATAGTACAATGATGCCTTCGAAAGTCTTTCGACAATTTATGTCAAATGGTTGGAAACAAAACAAATTGCCCATATTTCAGTCTATTTATTGCTGCTTGATCTTTGTCTAAATTGACCAAAAAAAATAGGGGTCTTTTTCATCCCGTATGGTATTATCCACCAAAGATATGTAAAGATCTGATTTATGGCTTAAAAGATATTGTCCTGAAACAAAAATTTTCCCAAACTTTCAGTCAATTTAAAGGTACTGTGACTTTGAGCTTTGATCTGCTTACCATAAGATTCATGTCTTACTCATTTTTCCAAGTGACATTTTTCAGCTACAAGGTGTATATATGGTTCAAAAGACAACATGTGGGAACCAAAAACCTGTAAATTTACTAAATAGAGACAAAATACCAAATATCTTCCATTAAAGCAAATTCTTTAAAGGACAAATTCAATAAAGATATGACTTTAGTCTTTAGTTTTCTATGTTGTGTTTTGTGTACTATTGTTTGTCTGTTGGTCTTTTTCTTTTTTAGCCTTGGTGTTGTCAGTTTATTTTCGACTTACGAATTTGAATGTCCCTTTGGTATCTTTCACCTCTCTTTTCAGACAACCACTCATGAGGTTTATGACATCAGACCAGTAAATGAAGAACTTCTAGTTTATTTTAATACTCAACTTTTCCCCATTTATCTTAATCAATGGAACAAGAAAAGGTGACTTGTAGAAGTCATAGTAAATAAAAGTTTATAAAAGTATACTTTGTAATATATACACCACATATATTCAATCCTGCTTGGTGTAAAAACTGTATTGTATCTACTACATAAAACACCAAATAACCTAATATACATGTAATTCCTGGAAAAATTGCAGTAAATTTACCTCATCCATAACAGCAGCTTTTCTGGCTTTGTCCAAGTCATCCATTTTCTTCCTTAGAGGTTTCAGTTCACCTCTCAAGCTATCTTTCTTCCAATAGGGGATCACTGACTGTGAAATTTCCTTGTACAAGCAAAAAAAACATAACATCATACAACATATTATGGGTTTACTTTTATCTTATTTTGGTCAATTATTTTGTGACATAATTTGCTGTGGTAGTTTGATTTGTTTTCTTAATGAATTAAACTTAACTACAGTGAGATGTCTGAAGTAACATTCCTTTCAAAATTTTACTACATTTTTAATCATTTTATATTGCTTAATCTACATATTTTAGTCTATTGGGCACTGGCTTTGTTATGAAGTGAAAACAAAAACTACCCAAAAATAAACAATTCTGTATCCCCTATTTAAAATGATATTATAGAGGTAAGTTATTAATATCAAAGCACCGGCCAGAACAAATTGATCTGACCTTCATTAAAGAATTTACATAGTTTAGAAAGGAAATAAAGTCTAAATACACATGACCTTAAGGGAACCATTAACAGAAATAAAACAAACAGGGATTAACTTACATCATCAACTTGTACTATAAGTTTTGTTAAATTCTTGACAGAAACATCTTTACTCTGTAATCTGTTGTCTATCTCCTGCTTCAACTCATTAATACTCTTTTCTAGGACAGCTACCTTATGCCAAGCCTACAATCATTTTTATGACATTTAGAATAAAATAAGTCAGTTTTACAGAACATACCTTTGTAATAAGAATATCAAAAGTATGTTGAAAGATTAATTTTACAATTATGGTTTTTATTTGGTTATTCATTGTAACTTTTCCCCTCGAAAATAGTATTTCAGATTTAGGTTGAAGGACATGTTTTTTTTATGTCTTTTTAATCTTACAAGGCATTTTCATCATTTCATAACTGTAAAAATTGTTGTCAATGTGTCCAACAACTTATGGTTTTGTGAACCAAAATTTTGAAAAGTAGAGTAAGCATTGGAAAAGGTTAGAATGTTATGCTTCAGATAAGGATGAAATATGAAATTGATTCAGTTTCATAGAAAAATTCTCAAAATGAAACAATTTATATTAAATTCATATTGCAAATAAATGTTTTCTCTGACTCTAAAATATAAACTATTAGGGTATTTGTGTCATTGGGTTGCTGCCTCTCTGAAGTTTACCTAACATCTCCCTTTATTAGTATATACTGAAAAAGTAATAATTCTTCACTTTGTTGCAAATGAAAACAAAAAATGAAAGTGCTTTAAAATCAACTTTTCATTTTATTATGATGTCTGAATCATTGCATAAGTGAAAGCTGAAAAAAGGTTTCATAATGTTACAAAAACTTTATTTTATTGAAAATCCTATGTAGTCAATAATAGTTAAATTGTTGCAAAAAATGTTATCACACACACATTTAAAAGAAAACAGCAAAGTTTTATTAGTAAGTGTGATATAATGAATGAATAATGCTTCTTAAATATATAAGATATTCCTACAAACCTTGTGGGCTTCTGTACCAGTAACAGCTATAATTCTTCTGATTCCTTTGGAAATAGCCTCTTCAGACACAATGACTAGTTTTCCTATATGTCCAGCTCTTCGTAAATGCCTATAAAATAAAAGAACAGAGTTCCAATATCCCCCGCGTTGCACATATTCTATCTATCCAAGGTGCAAGGGCAATAACTATTAAAAAAACACTTTTTGTTCTTTAAAACTTTTTATAAATATGTTGGAAAAATGAAGGCTTCAGAGCAAATGCAATGCGATTTCCTTTATAATTAATATTTCAAAGGGGCATAACTCCTTTAAATATTTGATCAGCACTTATTTTCGAAAGTGTCAAAGTTGTTGCTGATAAAAACCTGAATTTCCTAAAAAAAAAACTGGCAAGAATTGTATACATGAGAGCGCTAACAATGAAATTTTCCATATAATCAATATTTCCAAAGGGCAGAACTCTTTTAAAAACAAGCATTCTGAGAGTATTGCATGGCAATTCATAGTCCCCTACCAGTTAAAAAATTCATTGTATTGGAACAAAATGCTATCTTGATCTATAACTTGTCATGGTGTAAACTATATTACAAATATCAAGTCAATATCTTCAAGCATGACAAAAAAAAGAGTTGAAAACTGATTATTTAAGTGAATTTTCTAAGTCCAAGGACAATAATTCTGCACAAAATCATCAGACCGGAACAAAATTCGAACTTAATCTGTAACTTGTCATGATAAAACAGTGTACCAATTATTAAATCAATATCATCAAGCATGACGAAAACAAATGGGGAAAACTGAATATTTGAGTGAATTTTCTAAGTCCAAAAACCATAACTCTGCACAAAATCATCAGACCGGAACAAAATTCGAACTTGATCTGTAACTTGTCATGATAAAACAATGTACCAATTATTAAATCAATATCTTCAAGCATGACGAAAACAAATGGGGAAAACTGAATATTTGAGTGAATTTTCTAAGTCCAAGGACCATAACTCTGCACAAAATTATCAGACCGGAACAAAATTGGAACTTGCTCTGTAACTTGTCATGATAAAACAAAATAATAAATATCAAATCAATATCTTCAAGCACGAAAAAAAAAATGTGGAAAACTGATTTGCTGGACTGACGGATGGACAGACAGACAGACGAACTTATCTCCCTTACAAGATTGTTGCATATTTTTTAATAAGATACGAAACAATTTATTTCTAATATCCTATTCTATATTCTAGCCATTTTCCTTTCAATGTTATACTTCGACCTATTGGCCTGCTTTATTGATGACCTGTGCATATATAATAAAAGGACTTACGTTCCTCCGCAGAATTCTACACTTGTGAGAGAAGCCCCTGGTCCCATTGGATCTTTAACTAAGTCTTCAACTGATATACCTATAGATAATACTCTTACTGGATCTGGATAAACCTATAACATATTATTGTTTATCTCCATAAGTATACCATGCATTTCTTGTCATTCAATAAAAATTGAATCTAGTTTCAATTATTTACTTTTTTACAATTTACAAATTTGTTTGGCTTATTCATGGCCTGTATTATATGTAAGATGCAAGCATATGTTTTCATATACTGTAAATTCAGAAATTATTGCGTGCATTTATTATTGCGATTTTGTCATTTTAGACTAAAATGCGATTTAAATTTTGCGATATTGAGAAAAATCCTGTTTAATTCATATAAAAAATTTCAAAATGCGAGTTTAAATTATTGCAATTATAACCCTGTCGCATTTTTCGCAATAATAAAAACATCGCAATAATTTCAGAATTTACAGTAGTTCATTGAAAACAAATTGCCTCATGTTAAGTTGACAATTTTTTTCCAGCTTAACATCATTTCTCAGGAAAATGTTTAGTGCCATATACTAAAAAATACTTCATTCTACTTCTGCTTATTTTTCGCTATAATTTGGCAATGTAAAATGTTGCCCTTTTTTGCAACACCTATCTGCAAACAGCATCATTTCAGAGCTTTCAAACAGTACAGAGATGTTTGTAAAAACAGCAGTCTTTTTAATTACAAATGAGAACTAAATAAATGTGGATAGTGTCCACATGTGGACACAGATGATGCCCCCGCTTGCATATCATATAGTTATAAAGGGACATAACTGAAGAACGGTAAAAGTGACACTACCCAAATTTGAACTTGATCTGAGTTTTGTGGTAATAAGCATTGTGTGTAAGTCTCATAACATTTGGTTGAGGCTAACTTAAGTAGAGAACAGAAACTAAAAATTCAGCAATTTTTCTATTTGTAATGACGCATAACTCTAGAACGGTTGTGTATAAGTTTTACAACATTTGGTTGAGACAAACTAAAAAATTCAGCAATTTTTATGTTTATAATGGGACATAACTCTAGAATGGTAAAAGTGTTGCCACCTAATTTCGTACTTAATCTGTATTATGTAGTAATTAGCATTGTGTATAAGTTTCATAACATTTGGTTGAGGCAAACTCAAGTTAGAGAACTGAAACAAAAAAAATGTACTTGATCTTTACTGAGTTTTGTTGGAATGAATATTGTGTATAGGTTTCACAATGTTTGGCTGGGGAAAACTTCAGTTACAGAATGGAAACTAAAAAATTTTGCAATCTTTCTATTTATAAAGGGGCATAACTCAATAATGGTTAAAGTGACACTTCCCAAATTCAACTTGATCTGTGTTTTATCAGTGGTAGTCAAAATTAAACATTGCATTGTATAAAGCATTGATTGTAGTTGATTCAACTATAATCATGGTCAAAGGAAGATAACTCCAATTTTAAAAATATATTATATAAACTTGGTATTTAGAAGAAAATAAAAATTTTGCAATTTTTCCTTTTATAAAGGGGCATAACTCTAGATCAGTTAAAGTGACACCACCAAAATTCAAACTTGATCTGTGTTTTGTGGTAATAAGCATTGTGTATAAGTTTCATAACATTTGGTTGAGGCAAACTTAAGTTAGAGAACGGAAACTAAAAATTTTGCAATATTTCCTTTTATAAAGGGGCATAACTCTAGATCGGTTAAAGTGACGCCACCAAAATTCAAACTTGATCTGGGTTTTGTGGTAATAAGCATTGTGTATAAGTTTCATAACATTTGGTTGAGGCAAACTCAAGTTAGAGAACGGAAACCAATTTCGGGACGTACGTACAGACGGACAAGGGTAAAACTTAATGCCCCCTCCGGTACGGCGGGGGCATAAAAATACAATATACATTGTATTTTGTAACCCATAATAACGAAATTAATTATAGACTCAGTATATACATGTATAAACAAATATTTGATATGATAAGCACAATACATAAATCTCAAAATTAGTTTGTTGAAAACTGCATTTTGATAAATTTGTTTCAATGATTCAAGAATAATCAGGATATAATGTAACAAAGATATCTACCAAGACAATAAGTTACAATGCAGCTGAACAAGAAGGCACATTTTTTTGAAGGCATAATTCAAAGTATCTGAAAACAGGAAGTAGGTGTCCAACAATTCAAAAGGCACACACACATTACAGTCACCAGTCTTCAGCTGCTGAACAAATATAAAGTAATTCTGTTCAGTAGTACTTGTCAGGGAAAATTGTGACAGAAATATTTGTTGAACAAACAGATAGACGGAAGGACATACAGACAAGGTGAATGCAACTAGCCCCCATTTTTAGAGTTGGGTATAACATACTGCGGATTCATTTATTTTTGTGAGTACCATATTACTTGGAATGAGGAAAAATTGTATTTTCATTGATATTTGTTTTCATGGTTTTGCCAGTCTGCATACAAACATATAGAAAATTTGTACTTCGCTGAACATTTAAATTTTGTGTTCTACCCAAGAAATCTGTGGAAATTAGTATCCCATAAATAATAATGAATGCACAGTACATATATCAAATACAAATAAAAACATAACAGCTAGAGACTTAAGGAATGATAACTGGACTTGTATAAAAAAGGCCATATATAAATCTGTTTATCGTACTTTCTGAGTGCAAATGCACCCTGGTTAATAACCCCATATCAACCCAACCATATGACATCAGACAAGGCTGGTATGGGGTTATCAGCCTGAATGTGTTCAAACAGCACTTGAAAACCTTTCTTTTATACTTTAATTTTGATAAACACCATTCTTCTTCTGTTTTACTACTTATTCAGAACTTGACACATGTACATCTTTTCTCAGTATATAATACTGAATATTAATCTTCAATGAGATACATGCCAAATAACAATTTATAAAATCAGATATTACCTCATCAAAGACAGCTCTCAACCCCTGTATAGATTTGGCATCAGATAATGGAGTCTCTCTAGCAAATACTGCTTCATTTTTTGAAGCCAAGTTGTTAACAATATCCTCAACAGTTTTAACATCTTTTACAGACATTGCACCCTGGAAAATGTAAATGGTCAATTTTAAATGTCAAGTCAAGCACATTTCAACCTTCCTTCCAGGTGATATTCTCAATCATGTCCACGAGAAGATTATCAGCGCTGAGACACTCTTTTCAAACTTTATTACAGAACGTAATTTTCCTTAGCATTAGCTATCATGAAAATGTCATCTATACTGTAAGTAAAAAGTTGAGTGTTCTTAAATTGAATAAATTTCTGAGAAAAAAAACACAGCACAAGTTTAAATAAGCTTCACAGCATGTCATGTCATGTTTTCTCATTGCTAGACGTATTTCAGCATGATCCAATGAAAAACTAAGTAGTCAACTTTTGGACATAATAATTGCCTGATCAGCATCAAAGTGACAGCACTAGATGAATAATATAAAAAATAAAATGCTTCGCTGGGGCGCAGCTTGATACGACCGCAGAGGTCGAACCCTGAACAGTTGGGGCAAGTATGGACACAACATTCAAGCTTGATACAGCTCTGAATTTGGATTGTTATTAAATATTTGACACAGCATAGGTTTCTGTCACAGAAAGAATGTGGTCTAAGAACTTGAAATTTTTTAATTTACCTATTATGGTCCAATGTCCAAAATCAAAATACATGGTTAGATTCAGCATATCAAAGAACCCCATATATTCAATTTTTGTTAAAATCAAACAAAGTTTAATTTTGGACCCCAACTTGGACAAACTTGAAAACTGGGCCCACAATCAAAAATCTAAACACATGTTTAGATTCAGCATATCAAAGAACCCCAAGAATTCATTTTTGCTAAAATCTAACTAAGTTTAATTTTGGACCCTTTGGACCTTAATGTAGACCAATTTAAAAAACGGGACTTAAAATTAAAAATCTAAATACACCGTTAGATTTGGTATATCAAAGAACCCCAATAATTCAATTTTTGATGAAATCAAACAAAGTTTAATTTTGGACCCTTTTGACCTCAATATGAACCAATTTGATAGCGGGGCCCACAAATAAAAAATCTAAATTCATGGTTAGATTCAGCATATCAAAGAACCCCATATATTCAATTTTTGTTGAAATCAAAAAAAGTTTTATTTTGGACCCCAACTTGGACCAACTTGAAAACTGGGCCCATAATCAAAAATCTAAACACATGTTTAGATTCAGCATACCAAAGAACCCCAAGAATTCAATTTTTGTTAAAATCAAACTAAGTTTAATTTTGGACCCTTTGGACCTCAATGAAGACCAATTTAAAAAACGGGACCCAAATTAAATATCTAAAAACACGGTTAGATTTGGCATATCAAAGAACCCCAATAATTCAATTTTTGATGAAATATAACAAAGTTTAATTTTGGACCCTTTTGACCTCAATATGAACCAATTTGATAACGGGGCCCACAAATAAAAAATCTAAATACATGTTTAGATTCAGCATATCAAAGAACCTCATATATTCAATTTTTGTTGAAATCAAACAAAGTTTAATTTTGGACCCCAATTTGGACCAACTTGAAAACTGGGCCCATAATCAAAAATCTAAATACATGTTCAGATTCAGCATATCAAAGAACCCCATATATTCAATTTTTGTTGAAATCAAACAAAGTTTAAATACTGGACCCTATCTAGGACCAACTTGAAAACTGGGCCCATAATCAAAAATCTAAACACATGTTTAGATTCAGCATATCAAAGAACCCCAAAAATTCAATTTTTGTTAAAATCAAACTAAGTTTAATTTTGGACCCTTTGGACCTTAATGTAGAGCAATTTAAAAAACAGGACCCAAAATTAAAAATCTAAATACACGGTTAGATTTGGAATATCAAAGAACCCCAATAATTCAATTTTAGATGAAATCAAACAAAGTTTAATTTTGGACCCTTTTGACCTCAATATGAACCAATTTGATAACGGGGTCCACAAATAAAAAATCTAAATACATGGTTAGATTCAGCATATCAAAGAACCCCATATATTCAATTTTTGTTGAAATCAAACAAAGTTTAATTTTGGACCCCAATTTGGACCAACTTGAAAACTGGGCCCATAATCAAAAATCTAAATACATGTTCAGATTCAGCATATCAAAGAACCCCATATATTCAATTTTTGTTGAAATCAAACAAAGTTTAAATACTGGACCCTATCTAGGACCAACTTGAAAACTGGGCCCATAATCAAAAATCTAAACACATGTTTAGATTCAGCATATCAAAGAACCCCAAAAATTCAATTTTTGTTAAAATCAAACTAAGTTTAATTTTGGACCCTTTGGACCTTAATGTAGAGCAATTTAAAAAACAGGACCCAAAATTAAAAATCTAAATACACGGTTAGATTTGGAATATCAAAGAACCCCAATAATTCAATTTTAGATGAAATCAAACAAAGTTTAATTTTGGACCCTTTTGACCTCAATATGAACCAATTTGATAACGGGGTCCACAAATAAAAAATCTAAATACATGGTTAGATTCAGCATATCAAAGAACCCCATATATTCAATTTTTGTTGAAATCAAACAAAGTTTAATTTTGGACCCCAATTTGGACCAACTTGAAAACTGGGCCCATAATCAAAAATCTAAATACATGTTCAGATTCAGCATATCAAAGAACCCCATATATTCAATTTTTGTTGAAATCAAACAAAGTTTAAATACTGGACCCTATCTAGGACCAACTTGAAAACTGGGCCCATAATCAAAAATCTAAACACATGTTTAGATTCAGCATATCAAAGAACCCCAAAAATTCAATTTTTGTTAAAATCAAACTAAGTTTAATTTTGGACCCTTTGGACCTTAATGTAGAGCAATTTAAAAAACAGGACCCAAAATTAAAAATCTAAATACACGGTTAGATTTGGAATATCAAAGAACCCCAATAATTCAATTTTAGATGAAATCAAACAAAGTTTAATTTTGGACCCTTTTGACCTCAATATGAACCAATTTGATAACGGGGTCCACAAATAAAAAATCTAAATACATGGTTAGATTCAGCATATCAAAGAACCCCATATATTCAATTTTTGTTGAAATCAAACAAAGTTTAATTTTGGACCCCAATTTGGACCAACTTGAAAACTGGGCCAAAAATCAAAAATCTAAATACAGGTTTAGATTCAGCATATCAAAGAACCTCATATATTCAATTTTTGCTAAAATCAAACAAAGTTAAATTTTGGACCCTTTGGACCTTAATGTAGACCAATTTGAAAACTGGACCCAAAATTAAAAATCTAAATACACTGTTAGAATCGGCATAACAAATAAATAAATGTGATCAAAGATTTTACAAATCTAATGCGCCATACTGTGCAATTAAAGATTACTTCTTGAAATTTTTCATATTTGAAATTTGAAAAAAAAATAATATTTGAAGAATAATTCTTTTTAATTTCTGAAATCTGAAATGAGAAAAAATTGACCCCCCACAATTTCTTTTTATCCCCCCCCCCCCCCCTCTTTTTTCCCCCAAAAAATTCTTTCCCTCAAGATATGGTCATAATCTCAATTCAAATTTCCAATGGAGTTGGCAACCATAATTACCCATTTAAATTTACCATAGTGCTAACTTAATCTATTTTATAATAGAATTAAAAATATAGTGTCAAATCTTTCATATGGATTTTTTTGTAAAAAAAAAAGATGCAACATTTGCAGATATTTTTACTGGTCTTCCTTTATAAATATGCATTTCTTAAAACATAATTTAAAAGCAGTGTAAGGGAAATAACAAAAAAGTTGTATTTGGATTACCTCCCTTACACTGTTTTAAATTATCTTTATTGTTCATTAACCATTACTTTATACATAATTTAAAAGCAGTGTAAGGGAGATAATTTCAATGATGTATTTGATTTATCTCCCTTACACTGCTTTAAATTATGTTTTGTACTAAAGTATTTGTCCATTAACCAGGACAACCTTGTTTTTCCCCCTTTTTTGCCCCTAATTCCTAAACGGTTTGAGCCATAACCCCCCAAAGCAAATCCTAACCATCCCTTTGTGGTATGGAAACTTGTAGTATAATTTCAGAGAGATCCATACACCGTTCCACAGTTATTGTCTGGAAACTAGAAAATGCTTATTTTTGGCCCCTTTTTGGCCCCTTATTCCTTAACTGTTGGTACCATAACCCCCAAAATCAATCCCAACCTTCCTTTTGTGGTATTTAACCTTATGGTCAAATTTCAAAAAGATCCATTCACTTAAACTAAAGTTAGAGTGCGAAAACCAATATGTATTCGGACGACGACGCCGGACGACGACGACGACGCCAACGTCATACCAATATACGACCACAAAATTTTTTTGCGGTCGTATAAAAACCTTGATGTATCTTTCTGTTTCAGGGGTTCTCAAAATAAGATCACTGAAATTAATTTTTTTTAGCATTTGAAAAATATATTTTTGCCAGTGGTGGCAGGTCAGAACCAAAGTAAAAATAAATGGGGAATGTGTCCATGCCTCCATGGGGACACAGATGATGTATCTGCTTGCATGTAATGTTAAAAAGGTACATAACTCCAGAACAGTAAAAGTGACGCTACCCAAATTTGTTCTTGATCTGAGTTTTGTGGTAATAAGCATTGTGTATAAGTTTTATAACATTTGGTTGAGGCAAACTTAAGTTCGAGAATAGAAACGAAAAATTCAGCAATTTTTCCATTTGTAAAGGGGCATAACTCTAGAAAGGTGAAAGTGACACCACCAAAATTCAAACTTGATCTGAGTTTTGTGGTAATAAGCATTGTGTATAAGTTTTATAACATTTGGTTGAGGCAAACTTGAGTTCGAGAACAGAAACGAAAAATTCAGCAATTTTCCATTTGTAAAGGGGCATAACTCTAGAAAGGTTAGAGAATGTAAACCAATTTCGGGGCGTACAGACGTACGGACGGACGGACGTAGATGGATAAGGGTAAAACTTAATGCCCCCTCCACTACGGTGGGGGCATAAAAATAAGCTATTTATATTGTTCTCAAGATGTCTTTTGGTTATTTCTGTCATTTGGGTTGCTGTTTCATTGGTGTATACACCTTATATTCATATTTACTAAGGTAATAAGATCAGTTCTTTGAAGCCTTACCTAATGGTAATATGCTATGAATATACATGTAGTTATAAATTAATCTACTCACTTTTGCAGTAAAATCAAATCGGAGTCTGTCAGGAGCTACTAAAGATCCTCTTTGGTCAGCCTCCTTTAAAACTTCTCGAAGACCAAAGTTTAACATGTGTGTACCTGTGTGATTCTTCATTACAGAACTTCTTCTTGTCTATAATGTATCAATTATTTACAAACAAATTCTAAATGTGAAAAACAAATTTTCCTTAAATTGCCAAAATGCATTTTGAATATCTATAATATACACACTTCATCATATACAGAAGTCAGATCTGTATGAGGATTAACTAATACAAAGTGTATATCTAAGGGTGGTAAATTAAAAGGACACAAAACTGACCATCACATAGATTTTGAACAAAAAACATAAGCTTTCACTAAAAACTTTTTCTGCATCATAAACTTATAAAGAAACATTATATTTTTACATACAATATTAAATTTTCTGACAGCTTCATTTTTTAAATAGTTTTTCATTGTATATAAAATCTTACATTGTCTATAGTTAACTGAACAACATCTCCCACTCGTAATGTGCCTTCTATGTGTCCTACATGTAATACATAACCTCCTCGTACTTGTACATTCTTCACTTTAAATTCTATTTCCTGCAAGTAAAAATATTTCAAATCTACTCTGTAGACAAATGGGATCAATGGATAGATATTAAAGTCTACTTATCCTAACTCATATGTACTCATAAAGTAAATGATGAAGGAAAGATAGCACTTACCACTTCTGTTTTCAGCAAAGTTCCTCAGGAAATTTTTTGGATGGGAAACTACTATTGCAGTGTTTAATCATCAACTCGTTTTATTTGCATGGGATCTTTGCATGAAAATTAAACCAACTTCTACCAGAACTACCAGAAATATACATCAACAAAACTTTGGTTCCCATATCAGATCATGGACTATACTATTTCTTCATATAATATCTATCATTGTTGGGTATGTAAAATAGGACAGATGAACAAACGAACAAACAGATAAAAGATATACACCACCCATTTCCAAAAGCAAGAGGTATACATACAGCACCATTAGTTATCAGACAATTTATATGAAATGTTAGGGATATTGCCCAAATTTCAGTGTATCAACAACTGTTGTGACCTTGGCCTTTGACCAAATCATTAAGGTGGCTTTCAAATACTTTTAACAGTTCATGCTGCATACTGTTAAACAATTAAAGTGAGGACAGTAACTTAATGCAAAAATATGACAAATATGGGTACTCTAAATTCAGACATTATTGTGAGGTTTTTATGCGAATAATGCAACTGGGTGAGTATCGCAAAAATAAGAATCCCATTTTGATATCTGATACATATATCTGTATGCAGATTTTCCTAAAATCGCAATAATTAATCTTGCATTTTTGTCTTTTCTTCATAAATTACAATAACAAATGTTCGCAATAATTTCTGAATTTGTAGTATATTTATCAATTTGTCAGACAATAAACTTACCACTTCATCAGCTGCAAAGTACATTTTTTCACATTTTAATAATTCTGTATCTTTAACACCAAACTAATTTTTTACCTCATCATTTTCCTTTACAATAAATCCCTCATCATAGATCTGTCCTCCTTGTTCAGCATAAAAACAGGTCTTATCTAGGAGTATACCACATTCCTGAGGAGTTGTTACTTCTTCTACAAACTGTTTATCATATCTAAGGGCTATAATCTTCCCTGTGGCAGGTTCAAAATCTGGAATATATTAGTTATATGTGTGCAATTTTGTCTTTTTCTTTCACATATTTCTTATTCACAGAATTTTTTCTTAAATTATCATTAATGTTTAAGAAATAATTCATGGGGGCTTGAATATATCGTGATTTTACCACGGGTTGGCCCTTTATGACAAATATTTTACCCTGAGCGATAGCTAAATGATAATTGTACTTATATGTCTTATATGTATACAACAAATGGCTTATATAACACATTTTTGCATCGTTTGTTTACGTTTCCTTGTTGTGATGATTTTCGGTTTCACAAGCGTGTATTTTCCCGTAAAATGCTTATATTCTTACGTCATCGTTCTATGACGTTGGGTAGCTCATTCATAAAAAAACATATGACGCGGGAGTACCATTGAAACAGCCTAAACAATATATTCATATTTTACCACGGGTGTGTACTCAAAGCGTTTGTAGAACGTCATGTTAGAATTTTAAATTTATCATTTGATGGCAACTAAAATATATCAATTTAACAATACTTATTACCTCCATAACAACCTTTCTACTAAATCAATTTCCATTTCTATGTATAAAATAAAACTGTAACAGTAAACATAGCTGCTCATTTATCGACATGAAACTTCAGAAAATGTTATAATAAAATATTTGGAAAATTCTTTCCTTGAGATAAGATTTTGTACGACACTACAGCTTATAAGTAACTTTATCTTACTGTAATTTCCATCATCATCGGCAGTATAATTATATTTAGGTGAATCGTCTGTTGGGGGAACTCCTCTGTTCTGTAAGTCACTGATAGAATGTACATCTAACATGATCCTATCATCTATAGTTCCTCCTGTTCCTTGAGACAATATCTGTAGAATAGAAATAAATTGTTAATAGCATGTACATCTAGAATATTCATGTCATCCAGTGTACCAATCCACAAAAAATACAGACTTTACAAAATATGCAGCAAACATATTAATGAATTTTCTAGTAAGCTGTCAATTGTTATCTAATTTTATCAAGTACTATTCTTAAAACATAATGGTTGGTATTGACACCAAAATGGGACGGTAAAGTCACACAGTACAACCATGAGAAAGATCAGAAAAAAACAATGGTATATGACATATCTACAATATTCATGGTTGGCTGAAACCAATAATAACATTTAATGAAATACAAATTTTGCACTGATTTGTTCTTTATAAAATATCTGAAGCAAACAACTGGTGGCATACCAAATTTTTTATATGCACATTATATGATAGATTTTGTTCATATGTTGATATTATGTTGCATATAATTTTAACTTTGATGTTATCTACAAAAAATATCTGAATAAACTGTTAACACATAGATGTCGCGCCTTTTTTTGTTATTTTGACAGTAAACTGCAAATATTGAAATTAGAATAGGAATATAGTCGACCCTCGTTTTGTCGAAGTCAAAGGAACAGGACAAAAGTATTTGACTTATCCGAGGTTCGATTCATCCGAGGTCGAGTGTATCGTCATAAAGTTGGAATGAATGAAATATGGTATGAGATTTTTGTAAACTAGATACTTTGAACAGTGTGCACTTTATGAGCATGTATTCAATCTTCATTTTTTGGTCCCTCATAATAATTAGAAAACACAAGGACAGATACAACACATTCATAAATAAAATCAATACACAAATATTTACAAAGGTCAGTCATTATAAATTATGCGGTACGTCTAAAAACCGTACAGGACATAAAAAGTGCACTCAGGACATGAAATAGATGTTTTAGTGAGTGCACACGCTGAAATGTCTCGCCTTCTTTACTAATCATTGATATTATGTTGAAAGTCCTAAATATAAAGCTTTATTACAACTGTCACATAAACTTAACATTCACCAAGTAAACTAAACATTGACCAATGAACCATGAAAATGAGGTCAAGGTCAGATGAACCATGCTAGGCAGGCATGTACAGCTAACAGTTCTTCCATACAACAAATATAGTTGACCTATTGCTTATAGTTTAAGAAAAACAGACCAAAACACAAAAACTTAACACTGAGCAATTAACCTTGAAAATGAGGTCAAGGTCAAATAAAACCTGCGTGACTGACATATAGATCATAAAATATTTCCATACACCAAATATAGTTGAACTATTGCATATAGTATTAGAAAAAAAGACCAAAACTCAAAAACTTAACTTTGACCAATGAACCATGAAGATGAGGTCAAGGTCAGATGACACCTGCCAGCTAGACATGTACACCTTACAATCATTCCATATACCAAATATAGTTGACCTATTGCATACAGTATAAGAAAATTCGTAAGGGTTCCGCGGAACCCAGTGTCTCGCCTACTTTTGCTGTTAATCGCAGGCTCAACAAAAATGAGGAAAAAAATTAATAAAAATATTCCTCTCTATACTATCTTTTGATTGTAAGTAGCTTCTGTCCAAGTTTGGTAAAAATCCAGGATAGTTTATAAATCTAATAAAAGTTTAAAAAACTTAAACTGCAGACTGTATGTAATATTAACTGGAAGAAAAACTAAGTCCATTTATAAGTAAAATACGGAAAAAATGGAACAAAATTTCCATGTAGATACTAGCTTTTAATCATAAACAAGCTTCTGTCCAAGTTTGGTACAAATCCAGGATAGTTTAAGAAAGTTGTTAAAATTTTAAAAACTTTAACCACAGAGTGAATGTAATGTTAACTGGCAGAAAAAGTAAGTCCATTTATAAGTAAAATACGGAAAAAATAGAATTTTTATTATACAAAATTTCCTTCTGAATACTATCTTATGATCATAAACAAGCTTCTTTCCAAGTTTGGTAGAAATCCAGGATAGTTTAAGAAAGTTATTAAAATTTCAAAAACTTTAACCACAGAGTGAATGTAATGTTTCCTGGCAGAAAAACTAAGTCCATTTATAAGTAAAATACGGAAAAAATGAAATTTTTTTTTTACAAAATTTACTTCTGGATACTATCTTATGATCATAAACCAGCTTCTTTCCAAGTTTGGTAGAAATCCAGGATAGTTTAAGAAAGTTATTAAAATTTCAAAAACTTTAACCACAGAGTGAATGTAATGTTTCCTGGCAGAAAAACTAAGTCCATTTATAAGTAAAATACGGAAAAAATGGAATTTTTTTTTTACAAAATTTACTTTTGAATATTATCTTATGATCATAAACAAGCTTCTGTCCAAGTTTGGTAGAAATCCAGGATAGTTTAAGAAAGTTATTAAAATTTCAAAAACTTTAACCACAGAGTGAATATTTGTGGACGCCGCCGACGACGACGACGACGCCGACGGAATGTAGGATCGCTATGTCTCGCTTTTTCGACAAAAGTCGAAGGCTCGACAAAAAACAGACCAAAACACAAAAACTTAACTATAACCACTGAACCATGAAAATGAGGTCAAGGTCAGATGACACCTGCCAGTTTGACATGTACACCTTACAGTCCTTCCATACACCTAATATACTAGACCTATTGCTTATAGTATCTGAGATATGGACTTGACCACCAAAACTTAACCTTGTTCACTGATCCATGAAATGAGGTCGAGGTCAAGTGAAAACTGTCTGACAGACCTTGCAAGGTACGCACATACTAAATATAGTTATCCTATTACTTATAATAAGAGAGAATTTAACATTACAAAAAATCATAACTTTTTTTTCAAGTAGTCACTGAACCATGAAAATGAGGTCAAGGACATTGGACATGTGACTGACAGAAACTTCATACCATGAGGCATCCATATACAAAGTATGAAGCATCCAGATCTCCCACCTTCAAAAATATAAAGGTTTTAAGAAGTTAGCTAACGCCGCCGCCGGATCACTATCCCTATGTCGAGCTTTCTGCGACAAAAGTGGCAGGCTCGACAATAAAATCAATACACAAATATTTACAAAGGTCAGTCATTATAAATTATGCGGTACGTCTAAAAACCGTACAGGACATAAAAAGTGCACTCAGGACATGAAATAGATGTTTTAGTGAGTGTTGAGGGTATGCATTCGCTAAATAATTTAATTTTTGATCTTATAATTTTTGTCAAAATAAAATCAATTCAATATTTAAGAAGTTATTGAAGTTTTTATCGGCACGCGCCGTTTTCCTGGGATATGTCATGCATGACCGATGATTATATTGAATACTAATTATCATGTTGATTAGGTCCTTTTATCTTTATTACTTAGGAGTGACTAGTGATGGTAATAAACACATACAAGTAAGCTTGGCAAACAAACAAAAAATAAAAATAATAAAGATTTATTGTTTTAGCAAAAATGTTAAATAAACTTCATTTTGTTTGTAATAATTGAAGCCAGTTGAAAAATTTAAGAAATCTACATATATGTCTTGTCTTGTCTGTAGTCGGGAAATTTCCATTCAATTAACTTCATTTGAAAACATTAAAAAAGTATAGATCTAATTCATTGCAAAATGTGGCGTCCTTTGGGATAAAAACCCAGTTTCAACTACGAGGAAAGTCCTATAATATAAGACTTCGTAGGTGTGGTTCAGCATTGATAGTAAAAAAAATAAACGGATAATGCATCATTAGAGCGCCTAATACATTAAAAAAAAAATACCGAAATAAACATATTTAAATATGTGTGTGTTTTGTTCTATTTTCTTGTTATTAAGATCCATTTAAATAAATAACATGTTTTCACTATTGAAAGTGTATCCATGTATTTAAAAGACACCTTGTTTAGCATTTACATTGTTTTACTTAATTTCTTTAAACTCCTCATATAGTTTAATATTATTCATAGACAGCTTTTATATGCAAATTTTATTTTAAAAAAAATATTTTTTCACCATTAAAACTCATTCTTGTCCAGTAATACATTTCTTTTAACGAGTGAAATTGTGAAATATTTTTTTTAAGCTTTTATCTTTATTGCGATAGCCTATGTGTAAAAAAAAAAACGTACAATATGTGTATAGTTTCAAACTCTATTAAGTAAGATGTTTTCCCCCATTTACACTCGTTCTTGTCCAGTAATAAATTCCACGAACGAGTTTGAATAGGGAAATAAAATCTGAAGAAGGAATTTGTCACCAGCATTTTCATAAAGCAATATTTGGTTTTGTATCAAGCCCGTTCTTACCTGTATTTGTTGCCGTACTTTTTCAAATAATCAAACTCATATGGTAAAATTTTATTTCTCATTAAAATCGTTCTTGTCCAGTATTACAAGCCTGAAGGAATTTCAATGTGAAAATAAATTCTGAACTAGAGGCTCTCAAGAGCCTGTGTCGCTCACCTGTATTTACTGATGCTTTGGAAATCATGTAAAATAAGGTTAAAATCATAATTAATAGTATTAGATATTAGATATTATAATGATATCTAAGATAATAACAAAACCCTGCAAATTTTTTGTAAAATTACTAACTCAGGGGCAGCAACCCAACAACGGGTTGTCGGATTCGTCTGAAAATTTCCAGGGCAGATAAATCTAAGTCTGATGAACATTTTTGCCACCTGTCAGATTTGCTCTAAATGCTTTAGTTTCAGAGATATAAACCAAAAACTGCATTTTACCCCTTTGTTCTATTTTTAACCAAGTCGGCCATGATGGTTAGAAGGCGGGGTCGTCGGACAAATTTTTTAAACTAGATACCCTTATAATGATTATGGCCAAGTATGGTTAAATTTGTCTCAGTAGTTTCAGAAAAGAAGATTTCATGTAAAAGATTACAAAAATTTACAAAAAATTGTTAAAAATTGACTATTAAGGGCAATAACTCCTAAAGGGGTCGACTGACAATTTTGGTCATGACAACTTATTTGTAGATCTTACTTTGCTGAACATTATTGCTGTTTACAGTTTATCTCTATCTATAATAATATTCAAGATAATAACCAAAAACTGCAAAATTTCCTTAAAATTACCAATTCAGGGGCAGCAACCCAACAACAGGTTATCAGATTTGTCTGAAAAATTTCAGGGCAGATAGATCTTGACCTGATAATCAGTTTTACCCTTTGTCAGATTTACTCTAAATGCTTTGGTTTCAGAGATATAAGCCAAAATCTACATTTTACCCCCTATGTTCTATTTTTAGCCATGGCGGCCATCTTGGTTGGTTGGCCAGGTCATCGGACACATTTTTTAAACTAGATACCCTAATGATGATTGTGGCCAAGTTTGGTTAAATTTGGCCCAGTGGTTTCAGAGGAGAAGATTTTTGTAAAAAGCTAACGACGACGGACAACGACGACGACGGACGCCAAGTGATGAGAAAAGCTCACTTGGCCCTTCGGGCCAGGTGAGCTAAAAATGAATATGTATCCGTTATTCTTTCAGTTTTCTGTCTCGATCAAGACCCCCTTTCACAAACGGGCTAAATTAATGCTGGCGTACATTGAACTCCCGTCATTTATCATATTTGGGTATTTTTTCTTAACAACTTCAAGTAGTTTGTTTGGTTTTACATCGACCTCATGGGAAATTATGAACTTTTTAGTCTTACAGAAAACATGTTATTTCACAATAAGGTTTGCAACACTCAAGAACAGTGGAAAGACCATTTCGCAGACTGTTGAAGATACTCAGTCCGTTCTTACAACGACTAAGTCCTCATGCACAGATTTTGTATTACAAAAACCCCAGAAACTTACCCATTAGCCAAACCAAAGAAAGAAACCAAGGAAAGCACGTACTCTGCAAAGATATTAGACTTAGCAAAACAAAAAAACACTTGTCTGCCTTTGTATGATTATATTAAATAAAATATGATATTCGTTTATTCAGTTGATATTGGAGAGGGAAAAAAAATTCACAAAGAAAAACAAAAACGAACTTGTAATAGACAAACTATAAAACAATATCAATTGTTATTTCTTTTACTTAAGAACTGCAGAATGTACAATAACAAAATTAATTTAGCTGTCCTCATTACACATAAACTGTATTAAAATACATTGAATAGGACTTTTGATTTTTTTTTTTCTCCATTATCGTAAAATTCACTACACATAAAGTAAATTTAATTACATAAACATGATAAATCAATTCTGAAACAACTTTAAAATATCGCATAATTAAATTTTATTAAAACACTGTTCTAATAACATGATATTCATAAGCAATAAGGATAATCCAATCAATTTTGTTGATTGGATTATTCACGGCTGAGTAGTTATGTAATCAGTGACAAGTGCCCTCATTATTTTATAATAAAATGCTCCGCTGGGCGCAGCTTGATACGACCGCAGAGGTCGAACCCTGAACAGTTGGGGCAAGTATGGAGTCTATGGACACAACATTCAAGCTTGATACAGCTCTGAATTTGGATTGTGATTAAATATTTGACACAGCATAGGTTTCTGACACAGAATGAATGTGGTCTAAGAACTTGAAATTTTTTAATTTACCTATTATGGTCCAATATCCAAAATCTAAATACATGGTTAGATTCAGCACATCAAAGAATCCAAAGAATTCAATTTTTGATGAAATCAAACAAATATTAATTTTGGACCCTTTTGACCTCAATGTGGACCAATTTGATAACGGGGCCCAAAAATCAAAATACATGGTTAGATTCAGCATATCAAAGAACCCCATATATTCAATTTTTGTTGAAATCAAACAAAGTTTAATTTTGAATTCCAACTTGGACCAACTTGAAAACTGGGCCCATAATGAAAAATCTAAACACATGTTTAGATTCAGCATATCAAAGAACCCCAAGAATTCAATTTTAGTTAAAATCAAACTAAAGTTTAATTTTGGACCCTTTGGACATTAATGTAGACCAATTTAAAAAACGGGACCCAAAATTAAAAATCTAAATACACGGTTAGATTTGGCATATCAAAGAACCCCAATAATTCAATTTTTGATGAAATCATACAAAGTTTAATTTTGGACCCAAATTTGGACCAACTTGAAAACTGGGCCCAAAATCAAAATCTAAATACATTTTTAGATTCAGCATATCAAAGAACCCCATATATTCAATTTTTGTTAAAATCAAACTAAGTTTAATTTTGGACCCTTTGGACATTAATGTAGACCAATTTGAAAACTGGACCCAAAATTAAAAATCTAAATACAGTTAGATTCTGCATAACAAATAAATAAATGTGGTCAAAGATTTTACAAATCTAATGCGCCATACTGTGCAATTAAAGATTACTTCTTGAAATTTTTCAATATTTGAAATTTGAAAAAAAAAAAATATTTGAAGAATAATTCGTTTTAATTTCTGAAATCTGAAATGAGAAAAAATTGACCCCCCACAATTTCTTTTTACCCCCCTCCCCCCCAAAAAAAATTCTTTCCTTCAAGATATGGTCATAATCGCAATTCAAATTTCCAATTACCCATTTAAATTTACCATAGTGCTAACTTAATCTATTTTATAATAGAATTTAAAATATGGTGTCAAATCTTTCATATGGATTTTTTTGTAAAAAAAAAAGATGCAACATTTGCAGATATTTTTACTGGTCTACCTTTATAAATATGCATTTCTTTAAACATAATTTAAAAGCAGTGTAAGGGAAGTAATCAAAACATATTTGGATTACCTCCCTTACACTGTTTTAAATTGTCTTAATTGTTCATTAACCATTACTTTATACATAATTTAAAAGCAGTGTAAGGGAGGTAATTCAAATATTGTATTTGATTTATCTCCCTTACACTGCTTTAAACTATGTTTTGTACTAAAGTATTTGTCCATTAACCAGGACAACCTTGTTTTTCCCCCTTTTTTGCCCCTAATTCCTAAACGGTTTGAGCCAAAACCCCCCAAAGCAAATCAAAACCATCCCTTTGTGGTATGGAAACTTGTGGTATAATTTCAGAGAGATCCATACACCGTTCCACAAGTTATTGTCTGGAAAGTAGAAAATGCTTATTTTTGGCCCCTTTTTGGCCCCTAATTCCTCAACTGTTGGTACCATAACCCCCAAAATCAATCCCAACCTTCCTTTTGTGGTATTGAACCTTATGGTAAAATTTCATAGAAATCCATTCACTTAAACTAAAGTTAGAGTGCGAAAACCAATGTGTCTTCGGACGACGACGACGACGCCAACGTCATACCAATATACGACCCCAAAATTTTTTTGCGGTCGTATAAAAATAATAAATATCTATTTAAATTCGTTTTCAAAATTTACCACTAAAATAAACAGCGTGCAACGAATATATACATTCTTCCTGTGTGCATATACGATGACTATAAAGAGTCCTGAGCAGTGTTTAGACGTACCCTAAATTATGAAATCACTTGCTGAACGAAACAAGTCAGATAGCTTTCTGATGATCGAGGGCAGTCTGCATTTCTTTCAATTAGTATCAATTGATCATAATTGTCTTAATCCTTTTATTTATTGTAAGTTATGAATTTGTATTCTAACCATTCAGTTAAACTCGGATTGGGTCATTTAAATTTGTTTTGTTTCTATGTCAGATGAAATATGTTCAACACACTAAAATTCCGCTTGGACGTTCAAAAAGGGTGTTAATTACTGCTCACCATAAACATGTCATTTTAACTGTTATACAAACAAGTATGTTTACACAGCTTTAATCTCTTTTGAAAATGATTAGGTTGCATAAGAAATACATCTGATTTAAATTGTTATCAGTAAGTCTGCATCTTTAGAAATTTCCTACTTTCGAACTTTGAAACAACAAGGTTCGACTGTACCTTTAACATGTAAGTTATGCAAAGTATTCAAAGTCAATGAACCATGACTGAAGGTACAGGGCCAAACAATCTCCATTAAAATAAGATGTGTCAATGCTTATACAACTGCATACTAAATATCATTGATTTATCATAAGTGGTTCTCTTTAAACTGTCCTTATCACAAACTTAACATGTAAACTAAGCAAAAGTCAATAGACCATGGCTAAGAGGATGTGGCTAAATAATTTCCTTATAAATGAGATGAGCCAATGCTAATACAACTGCACACCAAATATCATCGACCTACCTCTAGAAATTTCCCATAAACTGACTTTATCACAATCTAATACATGTAAACTAAGCTAAAGTTTCAAAGTCAAAAGACCATGGCTGAGGTGGCGGGGCCAAATGATATCCATGGAAATGAGATGAGCCAATGCTAATACAACAGCATACTAAATATCATTGACCTACCACCAGTGGTTCTCCATAAACTAACCTTATCACAAATTAATACATTTATACTAAGCAAAAGTTTCAAAGTCAATAGACCATGACTGAGGGAGCAGGGCCAAATGATCTCCATGGAAATGAGATGTGCCTTATCTAATAATACTGCATACCAAATATCATTGACTTATACTAGTGGTTCCCCATAAACTGACTTAATCATAAACTAATACATTGTTGACGCTATGGACGCTGCCGCCAGCGGAAACAGCATACCTATGTGTCGCCTTTTGACTCCGTCAAGGTGAGGCATAAATACAGTCGAAGTTGTACAAATTAATGCTGTTTCTTTTTCACTTGCATCCCAATCGTTTATGCAACCACATGTTATTTTACAATATCAATACCTAAAGTCTGAAACCACAAATCAATGATAATGTGAACCAAAGTGAAACCAGGGATTGAAAAAACCTTGAATGGTAAATACTAAGTGATACCTGAGAACGTTTCTTTGATTCTTCATAACTTAACATATCTACAGTTAGACCTTTCTCTTCTGCCATTAACCCTGTGAGATCAACAGGAAATCCATAAGTATCATACAACCTCCATGCTATATCACCTGTAATAAATATGTATATGTATATTTATTCACATTTCCTGACTACTGATAAGTAAAATTCAAGAGGCTACTAATTATATGAATTCCTTGGCAAGTGTCTGTATTGAAGCAAGCTTATAATGAATGGTTAGGTAAATTATCTCATTACCGGCAGTTTGCTTTCACAATATACATTTGAGATATTGTCTGATGTACACCTATCCTAAAAATATTAAAGCAACACGTTATAAATTTCATCATCTGAAGTGCTTTTCTGGATTTACATTCATCAGGAATGCTCAAAGCCGAATATATGACAGCCAAGGATGTATAAGAACCTAAACAATTGAAGAGCTGTATAACCAAAAAGGACCTAAAAAAAATAGCCAAATCCATCTAAGGTCAACTTTGCATGAGGGAGTTGAAACCTAATTCTTCAGATGTTTTTTTTTTTATTTTCTGTGCTTTATGTGGATTTACATGTACATAGATGTACATCTTTCTTGTTAGCATTATATTGATTCTTTTCTTTTTTATGTTGTTTTGGACTGATATTGTGCTTCAGATTAGGACATTTTGATTTTAACACATATCTGCCACTTACCTCCTGATTTCTAAGACAAAATTTACCACCAACTGGTCATTCAGTTCTATCAGTCATTTAAATAGCTCATACGTAAATATACTCTCATATAGATAAGCCAATACATACATATATAGATGGTTATTTGTTGTAACTTGCTGTCTCATTGACATGTACTCCACATCTTCTTTAATTCATATATACAAGTCAAACATAAGCACTAATATAATTTTCTTTCAAATCATCCATATCACAAAACATCTCTTACCAAAGTGTACAAGATTTTAAGACTAAATGCTTGAATGCTGTTAATTTAATTGACTTTTTTATACAGTAAATTCCTTTTGCACAAAACTCCTATATTTTTGTTACCTGGTAATGAGTTTGTATCTCCCAATTTTCTAATAGTTCTCTCTAGTAACCGTTTGCCTCTGTTTAATGTCTTTAAAAACTGTTCTTCTTCTTCATTTATTATTTCTTTGATCTGAAAATTCCATGGGTAAAAAAGCGTCATCATACAACTATAGTAGATTTTCAATGATTCAACAACTAGAGATATCCAGATTCAGCAAATCTTTTCAAAATGCAAATTTATAAAAAGTCAGTCAGGGTGTTAAACTATTTTAATGCACTATCTTTACAACAACAAACTACACTAAGAACAAAACTCAACCTATATCACGAGGGAGGGTAGGAATGAACTTCTAAAATCACTCCAAATCCTAATTATTTGTATAATTTTGCATACATCAAATAGATATACCATCATAAAGGACCCTTGACTTATGTCTAAAATGACACTTCACTTCCTACGCTCTAGCATCCATTTAAATGGAAAAGCCCAAATTTAACAGTACATCTGTCGGTCTACTATCTAACATATTAAGACTTATAACAATCAATTCAACTTACCCCTTCTGGATCTTTGGTAACTTCTGGGAAACCATCTCCCTACAATTACATAAAATACCAGTAATTCCAAACCATCTTGTTTACAAAAGTTTAAGAAATTACAAATAAATGTGGATAGTGTCCACATGTGGACACAAATGATGCCCCCGCTTGCATATCATATAGTTATAAAGGGACAAAACTGAAGAACGGTAAAAGTGACGCTACCCAAATTTGAACTTGATCTGAGTTTTGTGGTAATGAATATTGTGTAAAGGTTTCATAATGTTTGGTTGGGACAAACTTAAGTTACAGAATGGAAACTTAAAATTTTGCAATCTTTCGATTTATAAAGGGGCATAACTCAATAATGGTTAAAGTGACACTACCCAAATTCAACTTGATCTGTGTTTTATCAGTGGAAGTCAAAATTAAACATTGCATTGTATAAAGCATTGATTGTAGTTGATTCAACTATAATCATGGACAAAGGAAGATAACTCCAATTTGAATAAAAATTACTTAATATTTAGAAGAAAATAAAAATTTTGCAATTTTTCCATTTATAAAGGGGCATAACTCTAGAACGGTTAAAGTGACGCCACCAAAATTCAAACTTGATCTGTGTTTTGTGATAATTAGCATTGTGTATAAGTTTCATAACATTTGGTTGAGGCAAAACTTAAGTCAGAGAACGGAAACTAAAAATTTTGCAATTTTTCCATTTATAAAGGGGCATAACTCTAGAACGATAAAAGCGACGCCACCAAAATTCAAACTTGATCTGTGTTTTGTGGTAATAAGCATTGTGTATAAGTTTCATGGTTGAGGCAAACTCAAGTTAGATAACAGAAACCAATTTTGGGACGTACGTACGGACGGACGTACAGATCGATGGACAAGGGTTAAACTTAATGCTCCCTCCGCTACGGCGGGAGCATAAAAAACAATGAGTGCCTTTCAGAATTCTGATAAAATATCGATTTTAATTTGAAAGAAATCAGATGAGAAATGCATGTCCTTTCCTGTTAACTAAAATATTTACTTAAAAATCATAGAAATGACATGCTGCACTACTGAATCTTTCAAAATCAGAAAATATTTGAGGTTATTTTCTTGACATTTTATTGAACAGATCCTTTAAAATAAGTTGAAGTCAAACCAACTTGAAGAGGAAGAAATTCCAATTTTCGGCCCAACTGTCTATTAGCTCAAATATATTACATTCAAATTTTTCTATGAAAGGACATTTTTCACTAAGTATATTTTTGTCTATTCTCACTAATTTAATTGATATTTTGAATTCCACTGGTACATACAAGTGTCTGAATAACAACATCAACCAGTGAAGCAAACACTCCAGGTTTAGCTCCTAACTTCTCTGTGGCATATCTGACAGCACGTCTTAAAATTCTTCTCAGTACATATCTATAATATAAGTTTGATATTTCAAATCACTGACACTAACATATGATCACTTTACTAAAAATTTTAATGTATGTGGACAATTTTTTTATTTTTTTTTTATTTCCCCCCCATAATTGTAGCTTTAAATAAAAATTTTGAACTCATCTTTGATTTTTTTATGAAAATGTCACCACTCTTATATAAACAATTTACATGAACTTATTGCTGACAAGAAAAACACAGCTAACGTCTGATTATGACTACATACCCTCTACCTATATTATCAGGTCGCCCATTGTCTGCCAAAGCAATAGTTAATGTTCGAGCATGATCGGCTAATACACGGTAGGCCATGTCCATACCATCTGTATCAGCTTTACCTACACGACCTTGGTATGGTGCAGCTCCTGTAGCCTAAAAGATAAAATCAGTACAGTAGACTCCAGCAAATCAGATACCAAAATTGTCAGCAAAAAATATCCCATTACCAGATATATTCAATTAGACGATAAATGTATATTCATTGAATATTCTGCAATAATAAGTACACCTAATCCCGATATTTCTTTAAATAATCAAATTCTATTTGAACATCAATGAAGATAATCATGATTGATAAAATATTATTGCATCAAGTTTTAGTTTTCTGAAGACTGTTTATGTTTAGGTCATGGTTCTCAAGGCTTCTTCACATTATGTAAACAAAACAAAATGGCGGTCATGACCATGTTACAAAATTATATCTGACAAAAGTCAGTTTTCTCTTGTCAAAAGGGATTTATATGTATATTGCAATAAATTATTCAGAAGGAGGTACATTCAGTTTAAAATATATTGCTGATTCTGTAAGCATTTAGAGTTTTATTAAAATTCTCCCAACATACTGCTCTTGTATATATTTTATAAATAAATTCAAACCATTTAGATCTAATTCACATTTCAAAGGAAGACAATGAGTAAAGAAAACAATTTATTAAGAAAGAGTTCCTTTTATTCAGTAAAAACAAAATTTCCTTATTTGAAAGATTGTAATTGCGTAACTTCCGGTTCCATTTCCTGTCAGAAAAACATTGAAAATATCCGATTGTGCATGGTTTTTAAAAAATATCCTGAATATTCTTAGCAGATATCTGATTAGGTGGAGTCTACTGTATCTTTATAATACAACCAATAAATTTGTTAATTTAAAATCAACTAGAAACAATGTTTTCAGTTTTCAGCACCAATTTGCCAGCAAATTGTGATATTATAATAACATCTCTAATTCATACATTTCTTTATCCTACGTTTAGAAAAGAAGATCTATTTATGACACAAAAATAAATAATAAAAGAGAGGAAATTTTCTTGTGGAATTATATAAATTATATTATTGCACATAGTATATTTACACAATTATTTATTTGATGAAAAGTCTGAACATGCTGCTTAATTTCTTCAAAATAAAACAACAATGTGAACTTGTGTGATGCATTATCTACGTTTATGTTGACATTATTTGTTTCCACAAAAAAAAAAAAAAAAAACAGCAGGCTGAGAATGAAAACACCAAAATAAGGTGTGGTTTGATTGCCAATGAGACAATATTTCATATCCACCAGTGTTCAAATGAAGTGGATTTAAAGTAAGTTTTGAAAAATTACTGAAGATGGTTTGATGCAATCAGAATGTTGAATATTTTTAACATTGTTAATGAATAATGAAAATAATGCTGAGTTTCAGTCCTAGCAACATAACTCAATTGAAACCTAACCAACCGAAGAGAAACACGAACTTGACATGCTTTTGAACTAGCTGTCAGTAACTGTAAGTACTCTCAGATCTGTACTTAGTGTCTTTTTTGTTGTTAGGGATGAGAGATAGATATATACCCTGCCACTTCCTGTCTGTGTTTTTGATTGTATTGATCTGATGAGTTAAGCCTTTTTCAACTGATTTTTATATTTTGTTCTTATTTTGTGCTGTTACACCACTGTCCCAGGTTAGAGGGAGGGTTGAGCGCTCACAAACATGTTTAACCCCGCCACATTCTTTATGTGCCTGTCCCAAGTCAGGAGCCTGTAGTTCAGTGGTTGTCATTGGTTCATGTCTGTATTATTGTTTTTCGCAAATTGTTTTGTTATAAATAAGGCTGTTAGTTTTCTCAATTGAATTGTTTCATATTTTTCATGTTGGAGCCTTTTATAGCCAACTATAAGGTATGGGTTTTTCTCTTTGTTGAAGGCCGTACAGTTGCCTATAATTGCTTACATCAACTTCATTTTAAGTTTGGTGGATAGTTGCCTCATTTGCAATCATACCACATCTCCTTATTTTTATATGTAATAAACAATAACGATGCAAAAAAATAGACATCCCACAGCTTCAAAATTTGATGATATCAAAGCAGCTATAAGTACCTTTTGTATGGCCTCAAAGAATGGTACAAACAGGTCTGTGTCATAGTTAGAACTCTTATTTTGAATCACTGAAACCAGTCGTTCTAATCCCATTCCACAATCGCAGTGCTGTCTTGGCAGGATTGTTAAACCATCTGCATCTCTATAAAAATAAAATGGAAATTTAAATCACATTTGAAATCCTTAGATTAACAATTTATAGCATTATTTACACTTAAAAAAATTCAAAAATACTAGAGAAATTTTATAGCCATCCAACTAATGTGTTTATTTAAGTTTGAAATCTTGAAAGACAATGCTACATCAAGATGTCTAACATTAACTGTAAATTCAGAAATTATTGTGAGGTTTATATTAATGCAAATAATGCGACTCCTTGAGTATCGCAAGAACAAGGACTTGCATTCTGATATCCGATAAATACATGTATATCTGTATGTAGCTTTTCCTAAATTTGCAATAATTAAACTCAAATTTTTGTTTTATTTTTGGGATAAATATCTATTTTCCTAATTTGTAGTTTAAAGCAATACTAAAACGTTTCTTCTGTTTTTCTGCATAGAAATTCTGTATACTTTGTTCTACACATTGCACAATATCATGTCTTCCTGTTCTATTAATGGTGTTGCTGTATGAAATGATTTATTTGTTATTATAAAGATTTACTTCTTTCTAACACTGACAATGAATATTACCTTGTCAAGATTGTAACTCAATTATATGAAAAATTCAATAAATTTTGAAAAATATCCTGTATTATATCAATTCTTTCCTGAATACATTTTTCATTGTCAGAATAAATAAGTCACAAGCCAAACGCCTTCAATGTGTGTAGCTGTTTTTACCTATTATATTGCATGAACACAAGATTCCAAATCTCCAAGACATCTGGATCATCAATGTTGACAAGATGTTTGGCATCCCGACCTCCAATCCTATCATAATGAATCTCTGTACATGGACCACAGGGTCCTGTCTCTCCCATTTCCCAAAAATTATCTTTCATACCAAATGGCAATACTCTTTCAGGTGCAACACTGAAATATCAAATCAATAAAATAATCTCGTACTGGACAAGACAAACAATGATATAGTAGAGGACTGAAGACATAGTCACTATAGCATAACAGAGATGTGTTTAAATTTTATAATGTAACAATTCTTAACTGGATATTGCCATTGTACTTGCAATAAACTGTTTACACAATAAAATGAAATGTGTTTTACCACTTTTTCATATATATCAAAAACAATTTGCGTACAAAAGTAAAAAAAAATAAAATAAAAGTTATTTATTTTCATTGCAATGTTTCAGTTATGTTTTCATTTATTGGTAAATTTCTGAATTTGTGAAAAGGCTATCAATGTATGTTACAGAATTATTTTTTTATTTGTCAATGAGCTGAAAATTCAATATATTGAATTACTGCATTTGTAATTATGAAAAGTCAAAATGTAGAAGCTTAATATTTTAATTGCTTAATCACTGCAATTGTAACTTTGACCTCTAAACAAGTCATTTCAAAATAAATCAAGTTTTTCTCTACCCAAGTGGCTTTATAAACTAAATATTTTTTTCAACTATGCATGTACAATTAAAAAGAAATTAGCAAACCATCACATTTCCTAAACTTCAGCAAAGTTTTAACTGCTGTGACTTTGACCTGAGATATGATGACCACAAAATCAATCAAGATTTTCTAATTGTCAAGAACGCTGAACTCAATTTTGTTAAATCATTTGATTTTTGATTCAAACTTAAAGAATACATTAGAAAACTAAAATGCTGACATGTAGATGGTAGCCAGTACATCAAAGCCAAATTCAGCCAATACAAATGTAATGGGGTAAAAAATATCTGTTATCATATTCCTAAAATGACAAAAGTATAATATGAATAAATCAACTCTGATATGAACTGATTCTTATTCAAACTACTTATGACTGGAATTTTTGGCCATTCAATAGTTCCAACAATCGAATATCTACCATATATTGACTCACCCAAGATTAATCCAAATGTCTTTGGTTTCATTGTCAGGTTCTAATCCAAAATCTGTATTACCACCAAAATAGGTAACATACAATCTGTCTTTGTCCATTCCAACTCTATCTACTAATAGTTCCCAAGCCCATGCACAACAATCTTTCTAGAAAGTATCAAGCACTACTTCAGTATTTGTAACAATCTATAGTCATGTTTGTTTCATGAAAGTGAATTTTTTTTTTCATAAATTGGTACAAGATTATACTTCATGAGTTGACAGAAGACTTATTCTTGAGTATATTTAGTTAGTTAGGACTCAACAAAAAAGGCACACCATTGCAAAAGACTTTCTGACAATAATTTAACTACATGCAAAATGATAAAAAAAATGTAGATAATAACTGCGCATTGATAAATTTTAGTGAAAATACAAAAAATCAATTATTTCTTTTTAATTAACTTCATTTTTTTTATTTATAGCTGCTGTTACCTTGACCTTGACATTAGAAAAAAAACATTAAGATATTCCTCTGCAAGGCAGCATTATTCACCAAAATTTGGTATCACTTGTATTCAAAGTATCAAATTGGTTGCAAAGTAAAATAAAAACAGATAATTCACCATGTGAATTTTCTACTTTATTTCCATTAAAAAAAGTACAACTAATCAAAGCATTATTTATCGAAAATATTCAACTCTGAAATGCTCTAAGTTAGAGAATTAATGTGTTGTACGGTCACTCAGTGAATATTTTTCTATATCTGAATTCTTGGATTAGATATTCTATAGTATCCTAAAACCAAACTTTGTAACTGTCTACTTTTATCTGCTCCTTTGACTATATAACTTAAAATAACTACAGCTCTTTCTCTCCCTAAAAAGCGTTATTAAATTTAGTCCAGCAAAAAATCTGATGTACAATGTACAAATCAAATGATTGAATTTAGCAAATATGCTTTCTGATTATTTCAGTCTATTAAGACATTTTGTTACCTAAACTTTTAATTTATTATAAACCTGAATCCAACCAGAGTCTTTCTCTCCAGATAGACTGAGATGTAGTAGAACAGTTCCAATTTTTTATCAAATTTTTTAAACCACTTTGATTTCTTTATACTTTTTATAATGAAAGGAAAAATCCTATGACCAAAGAAACCATGCATATCTAAAAATAAAATGCTTCGCTGGGCGCAGCTTGATACGACCGCAGAGGTCGAACCCTGAACAGTTGGGGCAAGTATGGACACAACATTCAAGCTTGATACAGCTCTGAATTTGGATTGTGATTAAATATTTGACACAGCATAGCTTTCTGACACAGAAAGAATGTGGTCTAAGAACTTCAATTTTTTTTAATTTACATATTATGGTCCAATGTCCAAAATCAAAATACATGGTTAGATTCAGCATATCAAAGAACCCCATATATTCAATTTTTGTTGAAATCAAACAAAGTTTAATTTTGGAACCTTTGGACCTTAATGTAGACCAATTTAAAAAACGGGACCCAAAATTAAAAATCTAAAAACACGGTTAGATTTGGCATATCAAAGAACCCCATATATTCAATTTTTGTTGAAATCAAACAAAGTTTAATTTTGGACCCCAATTTGGACCAACTTGAAAACTGGGCCAAATATCTAAAATCTAAATACATGTTTAGATTCAGCATATCAAAGAACCCCATATATTAAAATTTTGTTGAAATCAAACAAAGTTTAATTTTGGACCCCAACTTGGACCAACTTGAAAACTGGGCCCATAATCAAAAATCTAAACACATGTTTAGATTCAGCATATCAAAGAACCCCAAAAATTCAATTTTTGTTAAAATCAAACTAAGTTTAATTTTGGACCCTTTGGACCTTAATGTAGACCAATTTAAAAAATGGGACCCAAAATTAAAAATCTAAATACACGGTTAGATTTGGCATATCAAAGAACCCCAATAATTCAATTTTTGATGAAATCAAACAAAGTTTAATTTTGGACCCTTTTGACCTCAATCTGAACCAATTTGATAGCGGGCCCACAAATAAAAAATCTAAATGCATGGTAAGATTCAGCATATCAAAGAACCCCATATATTCAATTTTTGTTGAAATCAAACAAAGTTTAATTTTGGACCCCAATTTGGACCAACTTGAAAACTGGGCCAAAAATTAAAAATCTAAATACATGTTTAGATTCAGCATATCAAAGAACCCCATATATTCAATTTTTGTTAAAATCAAACAAAGTTTAAATTTGGACCCTTTGGACCTTAATGTAGACCAATTTGAAAACTGGACCCAAAATTAAAAATCTAAATACACGGTTAGATTCGGCATAACAAATAAATAAATGTGGTAAAAGATTTTACAAATCTAATGCGCCATACTGGTCTTCCTTTATAAATATGCATTTCTTTAAACATTATTTAAAAGCAGTGAAAGGGAAGTAACCAAAACGTTGTTTTTGGATTACCTCCCTTACACTGTTTTAAATTATCTTAATTGTTCATTAACCATTACTTTATACATAATTTAAAAGCAGTGTAAGGGAGATAATTTCAATGATGTATTTGATTTATCTCCCTTACACTGCTTTAAATTATGTTTTAGACTAAAGTATTTGTCCATTAATGAGGACAACCTTGTTTTTCCCCCTTTTTTGCCCCTAATTCTTAAACGGTTTGAGCAATAACCCCCCAAAGCAAATCCTAACCGTCCCTTTGTGGTATGGAAACTTGTAGTATAATTTCAGAGAGATCCATACACCGTTCCACAGTTATTGTCTGGAAACTAGAAAATGCTTATTTTTGGCCCCTTTTTGGCCCCTTATTCCTTAACTGTTGGTACCATAACCCCCAAAATCAATCCCCACCTTCCTTTTGTGGTATTGAACCTTATGGTAAAATTTCATAGAGATCCATTCACTTAAACTAAAGTTAGAGTGCGAAAACTAATGCGTCTTCGGACGACGACGACGCCGGACGACGACAACGACAACGACAACGCCAACGTCATACCAATATACGACCACAAAAATTTTTTTGCGGTCGTATAAAAACTAATACAGAAAAAAAAGTGTCTTATCGAAAGCAGGGCTTCCAGAATTATTTTTAGCCAGCCGAACATTTTATATATTATCCCGATTTTAATCCCTTAAGACTAAATAAACAAAAGGCAATTATGGTAATCTGTTGACAAGTTGGCCATCCAAATGATTGGCATAAAAAAAAACGATATTAAACTTTCTTTGATTCAAATTCGAAGTTCTGACGTAAACTGTTAAATTGGCAGTGCATCATTCGAAGTGTGCAACAATAAATTACATCAGCGTACTTATATTTGCCTTAGACTCTTTATTTGTGCAAAATAACGTTGTCAAAAACTTTACTTTCGTTTTTAAATCTTTTACCGGATGTTATCTTTACAATGGTAAAACATGGACCAGAGACGGATACGTAAATTCCGTGTACGTTTGCAAAGCATGAATGAGTGGAAGTAGCTCCTTCTACGTTATTTCTTCCAAGAAAATAATCGAAATAAACGTGAGATAAAGGTATCAATGACAATTTAAGCATTTTTTGAAGAATTAGGATGCATAATTAAATTTCACACCTGCGCACATGCGCACACGTGTACTAGTTCAAACAGAGACATGTCTCTTGTACAAACAACGTGTTTATGACGATGTTTCATTTTCACCTTTTTAATTTTTTCATCAAATCATATTTGTAAACGTATTTCTGATAATTTAAATCTTTTTGACTAAATTAATTAGATGCAAACCGCTGAAATGTAAGAAAACTTTGAATAGACCGATCAATGTCCGCTTCAAAATAGTTTACCTGTCACCTGAACAGGTAAATTTCAGCTGTTCGACAATTAATTAGCCTTGATTAAAATGAGAAGGTATTAAAGTAGGGGTTGTTTTGATAGTACTTAATGATCATGTCACTTTTATGACCGGAAATGTGTGGCTGTTAAAGGCAAAACGTTCGGTCCAAAAGATCGCGAATTATGTTAAAATGACCGTCTCTTAAAGCCTTGAAAACTAAAAAGTAGATGACCGTTTCATGCTTTGCCCAGCCGGACTTTTACGGGACATTATACAAATGTTCGGCATAAATGACCGTTTTGGAAGCCTTGATCGAAAGTATGACTACAATAGCAAACAGAAAAAAAATGTCTGATTCAACATTATTGTATAAAATATATAAGGCTGATGGCAAGTTTTTTTTGGTAAATTTCTATGGGTACTAGGTGAAATAAATCAGGATATTAGGTGAAATATAGAAAAATAACTAATCATACTTTTCTAAACATGATAAATATTGAAGATAAGGTATCTTATGGTCTCCTAAACAAGCTTATTTTTGCTCATTGTTGAAGGCCGTACGGTGACCTATAGTTGTTAACTTCTAAGTCATTTGGTCTCTAGTGGAGAATTGTCTCATTGCCAATTATACCACATCTTCTTATTTTTATAATTATTACTCTCACCTTGTAATAATCTCCAAATGACCAGTTGCCCAACATTTCAAAGAACGTGTGATGGTAAACATCTTTGCCGACATCATCTAAATCATTGTGTTTACCTCCAGCACGTATACATTTCTGGGAATTCGCCACTCTTTTGTATTTAGCCATGTCACTGTTGGGGTCCACTATGCCCAAAAATATGGGTTTGAACTGTAATTGAAAATTATGATCAGTTGTATGTGCATAGCAAAATAAAAAATATGCTTTCATGGAAATTAATGATATTATATGTATGTGCTTAGAACTCAGTATACATTTGTGGGAAAGTTTTACTTTTATTTTATTGAAAAAAAATTTCATGATCAATAAAAGTAACAACACTCATGATACACTTGACATTAAAACTTTTAAATTTAACAATATTTTCATTTTTTACACCTTAGACACAATGGCCAAATCAAACAATTATTTCACTCCTTCACTATACTTTTTTTAATTTATGGCACCTAAGTACATAAGAACATCTTCTAAAGACAGTTGTCTTTGCTCAAATCCATCTCTTGTTTCACTGGGATCAACATGTTTCATTAAAATTATAAGAAACAAGTTTCTGGTTATTATAATCATTCAGTGATTGTTGAATTTTAACTTGTTCTCATAAATTTAAAAAAATAAAAGAACAGAGTTCCAATGTCCCCCACGTTGCACATATTTTATATTTCCAAGGGGCATAACTCTTTTAAAAAAAATCGATCGTCCACCATTATAGAACTTGTCCGAGATATTGCTGATATTAACCTATAGTATAAGTTTTATAAAATATCTGGCAAGAATTGTACCCCTGAGAGCGCTAACGAGGCCATTTTCCATAAATTTAATATTTCCAAGGGGTATAACTCTTTTAAAAAAAGGCGACCGTCCACCATTTTAAATCTTGTCCAAGATATTGCTGATATTAACCTATAGTATAAGTTTTATAAAATTCTGACAGGAATTGTACCCATGAGAGCGCTAACATGACCGAATGGACGGACACACGGATGGACGGACGCCCAGTATTTCCATGTCCCACGCAATGCGTTACGCAGGGGACAAAAATACCGGTTATGATTAGGAAATTTTTTCAGATGGTCACTTCACCAATTGGGCAATCACCAGTGCTTCTGCACTAGTCCGATGAAATTTATTCTGGACAGGTGCTTCAGGCTACCACTTCATGTTGCAGTCTGTTAATATTGAATCTGATAAATAAATCATAACATATCTTACCTGATTCATACCAGCATTGGCAAATAAAAGTGTTGGATCATCATGAGGTACAACTGAGGAGGAATGTACATAAATATGTTCCTTCTCTTTAAAGAAGTCTACAAAGAGTTGTCTGACTTGAGAACCAGTCATCTGACTGCTCATCTTGTTCTATTAAGTATCTACAAAAAAAAAAAATTTAAATAATGAATGTAGCATTTATACTGCAGGACATATTGTCAAATGCGTTGAGTTCTAATTGAGTAAAATGCAAAAGTTGAAATAAAATTGGCAATACTTTCAAATATGCAGTCAATGAACCACAACTGAAGGTGCAGGGTTAAATAATCTCCATGGAAATGAGATAAGTCAAGGCTAATACAAATGCATACCAAATTTCACTGACTTATCATAAGTGTCTCCCCTTAAAGCGACCTAATCACAAACTTTAACATGTAAACTTTACACATGTTTAAAGGTCAATGAACCATGACTTTGGGGATGGGGAAAAATAATCTCCTTGGAAATGAGATGTGTACATATATGTACTTTTACAAATTAATAACACAGGACTCTTAATTTGAGTTTGTACTGACACAAAAGGAAGAATACATGACAAGTCAGACCAAAGATAAGTTGGATAAAGACAACTCTGACCAATTTTAAGACAACTTGAACCAGTCTGTCTCTGATAGACAACTCAGACAATTTGAAAGACAATTCTTACCAGTTTAAAAACAACTTAGACCAGTGTTAATCAAAGTGATGGAAATCACTCATGGAAAAAATGGAAGAGTAGTTTGAATAATTTCAAATCATTTTTCGGTAGATAAAATGAGCTAAAATGCATGTGAATCAATGATAGTGGTTCCCTTAATTTGCACGACAATTTCGTTAAAATTGCAATTTCATATCTAAACCAAATATTGTTCCCTATTACATGTTTCACCTTCTACTTTAATCTCAAGAAACAAAAGAAATTACCAAAAAAAGATTCTTCTAATAAAGTTTATCAATTATCCTTGTAGGACATGGGACCAACAGATAGACTTGAAACTAAGATGTTTATTCTCCAAAAATTAATCTACAAAGGTTGTTTTGGAGGCATTTTGTAAGTTGAAACAAAGATATACTATTTTTCTCCTCTAAGAATTGCTTTTTGATTTTGAAAACAATTATGATTATATGACACTGAAGGTTTTATGCTGTAGAGTCCATTTTAATTAAATTTATAATTTAACATTTTCCGCAAAAGGGCACTGAACATGCATTTTTTCAACATAAACAAATTAAAAAATCTTATTTGATTGATATGGGGATTCATTCTTAATTTCAAAAATACACTTCTTGTATTCAACACTTGAATACCTTTTCTATATGTAGATTTCATATTTTGTCTTTCCTTTTGAAAAAAAAACATCTTGTTAATCCTTAAACATTTATCTTTCAGACATAATTTATAGAATCACTTCATGTAGTTTAGATCAAAAGTAATACGCAATGAAAAATTTCTATATATCAAACATCTAATAATTAATATCTACATTTGTGTATTAATGAGGTCAAGTATTTGTGTATTGAGATGTATAACGAAGGGTCTGTTTAATTTTGTAAGACTGAGGTTGATTAGTAATTGGTCAATATGATTGGCATTTAAGGAGGTGGGACATTGCAATTCAGGCCCACCTTGTCTCTGATTGTTTGGTGAGCATGGCAGTTGTCAATCATACTGGTTTGTATCATTACCCTAACCTAATTAAAATGACAAAAATAGCCTGCAAATTACCAAAACTTAAAGACATACATACCGGTACTTGAATGAACTGCTACAAAGATATAACCCAATTTTTTCAAAGTTCATATGTGCATGTATATGTACACAGACATAGGGAACTATATTTCAGTGTGTATACATTTTGAAGATTTAGTAGCTAACCTGTTAACCTGTGCTACTTCTTGTTTGGGAGGCTGGTGCCTTAGGAAAGACTTGGAACAATGGTCATGATGGTTCTAATCTTTCAAAAAACAACAAACACAAGTGTTAAAGACCACTCAGACGGTGGTACCACTTATCACATGAGAACACACCAATCACGAGTTGTTTTTTATGAATGAGTTACACTGGTTGACCCTAGGTCAATCGGTGTAAACGACATCATCGTACAATCGGTTCTTACTGTGACATAATATCATAAACATTGTGACATGGGAAATTTACATGAAAGTGCACCAATTCGAAAGTCGTCTATGAACATATATATATTATAATATCTTTTTTCATTGAATCAATGATAGTTGTCGTATTTATAAATGTATCATGTTATCTGTTCATTGATCATAAACAACTATTAGTTACTCCTTGAGGCACATGAAACATTCAGTAAACTCAATAAAGGGCAATAAAAAAGAATTAAACTTTATTTATTATTTTCAATGAGTTTATGAGATGATCCACCTTCTTGATCTTGTTAGGCATAAATTAATCAGAAGTAAAAAAAAAATATGGCAAAAACGAACAAGCTAATTAAAATGCAACATAGGAACTCAAATCAAAAGAGGTGTCATAATTTTGAGTAGGACCGATTACATTTACTGTTAATTTAATATCCTCAACATTTATCTAATGTATAAGACAGCTTTTATCATTGATAGTGATCTGAAATAGTGCAAGATCTAAATAAAAAAATAGAAATAAATTATTCTTAAATGCACAATATCCAAAACAGTTTATCAAAAAACAAGAAACAATGACCAGAAAAGAAAGAAAATCCTAAATGAGAGCGTATGTTCCTTCCCCTGATCCCAGATTCTGCTTATTGTTTTGTCAGAATCCTGTATCCCCCTTATCATTGTAATAATAGCGCTTATAATTTCAAGTGTCCTGCCCAAATTTGTTTCCCATTTTCACGCCAAAAAAAATTGACTTTCACATGTCACTATTACAAAAATCGGCCAATCTTGGATCATACTTACACCCAAATGAGACCCACTTCCAACATTTTGAATGTGTAAAAGTAGTTTTACTCATTATTTCATCTTACTTCATATTCTCAACAAACAAACAAAATACAGTTAAGGCAAATAGCTGATAAAAAGAATAATGGCATTTTAGCGGGCTCACTTGATACTCTTGCTGATAAAGTCAGTATCAAAAACAAAAATACCATTATTCTATATTTAAGAGTGGTCTTGTAAACTGATAAAAAGCACCTTTAAATGAGCCCAGCCAGTGTTCTAAATTGCCCAGAGTTGTTTTGGTCCTACTCCTAGTTGTCATAATTTGGTCAGACTTGTTGTGATTTCATAAGGAACAGCCAATTGTGTTATTGGACAAGTCAAATTTTTTTTAGATTGAATTGAAAATGCAATAGCAAACTCAGAATTTTATTTGTAAAAAATTGAGAGTTTCCATTTTCAAATCTGTCAAAACAATATCAGTAAACAATTATTTCTTTGACATACTTGCTTGCCTTCCAACTGTTCTTACTGTGTTAACTGTTTATTACAAAAATTGCACCAATGCTACGTGGAAAGAGAATTTATACTGCATTTAAAATTCATAACATGTAGAGCATGTCAGACTTCTGATGTCAGAGATAATAATGATGCAATAAACGGAAAGTGTCTTGCGACAATCTTTGAAATAATTGTTTATGTGTGTATCTATGCGAGAACACCCCCTACGTTTCGGTGTTTAAACGTGCTTTCTTACTATATTTTGCCGTTTTACCCACTATTCAACCGGTTCATTCAACAGAAACGTGGTTGACATCCACCGGTGATTTCAATTTTTCTCCAGATAAAATAATCCGCCGTTCTGTAGGAGAACTTTTCAGAGTTTTAGAAGATTTAAAAACAACAATTTTCATGTTTTCTTTCAATGGTTATATATGTCCCTATGTGTATATAATATCATAATATAAATGTACCTACATGTCGAGTTTGAAATATCTTAATATCGAAGTTGCTTAAAAGGGCGGTCTCACTAATTAGCGACAAGAAGAATTTTAGCGACAAGAAGCGTCAAGAAGCGACAAGAAGCGACAAGAAGACTATTTTGCGACAAGAAAACATTTTTTTTTATTAAGATTACTTATTCCAAATAAATATTAAAAGAATATGCAAAAGAAAACAATTTTAGCGACAAGAAAGTTAATATTCTATCAATACATAGATAGAAAAAGTCATTTTTATAGTAATAAAGCATCACAAATTTTTTTAAACATAGATCTAATTGCTACATTTAAGTTTGTGATATTTTATTATTTATTATGTATTACAGCAAGTATTACGTTTACCCTGTCATATTATGATATTAATTTTACTTGTTTTTAAGAACAATAATATATTTATCTTATAACTTTTTTTTTCAAGGTTTTTAAAACTCTCTTTGTACAATATATAATAAACTTGAAAAATGCATTATTTGTGCATCATTGTCCAGAAAATACAGACACAAATTGTGAAATACAAAAAACTGAAATCAAACAAGAGGAAAACATAATTAAAATGTGAATATTTTTTATCATTTTATTTTGTATATTGCCTCATTTAACGATATTTATCGAGTCATGTTTATGCATAGTTTAATGTTGATTGAAGATTATTCATACTCTGACTTTGATGAAAACAGTACATACATTATCTTAAACATATTCTTTATATTTAATAAAAGCTACACGATCCCTTATTTCCTTACAAATGTTTAATTTCTTCATCTATCAATATCAGAGACATGTATATATGTCTCTGTCAATATAATAAAAAAAAAATATCAATTTATTTCTGCCCATATATTAAAAAAAAGTAAATGCATATTTTTTAATATTTATACATAAATTATTCTTCTTGTCGCTTCTTGTCGCTTCTTGACGCTTCTTGACGCTTCTTGTCGCTAATTAGTGAGACATTTTTCAATAAAATAAGGGGATACAACATCAAACTTTTTCTTCAGATGTATTTCTTGATTTTGAAGAAGCTTTTGTCCAAGTTTCATAATGCAGGTTTGACAAAGTAATTGATGTTTAAAAAAGGCAGTGGTTATTTTGCCGGCTCTGATTAAAATATCTTAACTTGAATCTATACCAGTGCCAATACAGAAACAGCCAGTTAATAACACTATATTATTGAATCTCTTATGTTGACAGTGCACATTTTCGTAGTACTTATCTAAAAGTTAATATTGAATTTCACTCTTTACAAAGGACCGGCAAAATAACAAATTAACTATATATAAAGAAATAGCTATTTTACCGCGCCGGCAATATATAGTGAATTTGTTATTTTGCTGTATTGGCCTCGAGACCCGTAGGCTCGTTAAATAAGAAAACAGCTAACAATATTTGAGATACATATAATCAAGGAATTGTATATTTAAATATACAATTCCTTGATATAATGAGGGGCGTAAAAGGGGTGGGGGTATCTTCACGGAAGAACGCGAAATAAATTCACGATGAATAACAAACTTTTTTCACGACTGCACGTGAAATAAAAATGACAAAACACGTTGCACGAAAATAACCCTTTACCACCCTCTATAATCGTTTAATAATAACATTTATTTAGTCAAATTAAAATAAGAATTCATAATAAGAAAAATAATTATAATGTTGAACATCCATTTGTTGCAATGAAATCATATCAAAACATGTAGTTGAAATTATTTCTAAAACCAGTCACTGTCTATATATATATAATGCCTATGCTACTTCAAGGATTTGTATAGTACTATACAAATCCGTGGCTACATGTACGCATAACAAAGGAATAAAATCTCAGACTTTTTAACTGTATGTTATTTAAGGAATGACTGTAATATTTTTTCTGTCTATGAAGCCGAAATAACACCAAAAATGTGGTGCACACTGAATAACCCGCTTTGCGGGGTTGATATATTCTGATAGAGGAGTATCAAAAAATGTAATCTTAACCCAATAATAGTTTCAGGGCGAAGCCAGGGGCGGATTCAGGCGGGGGCGTGACGGGCGTGTGCCCCCCCCCCCTCCCCCAAATTTGCAAAGCATGGGTTGTCCTCAGCTTAATAAAGAATATTTCGATAATTTAACCTAAAAAAATATTTCCCCTCGCTCTGCTCGGCGAAAATTTAAGTTTGCGCACCCCTAACCTAAAATCCTGGATCCGCCCCTGGAAGCTAAGTAGAACACATTCACCTTGTCCATCCGTCAAACAAATATGATGGGGTGATCCCCCTTCCAATCCTTGACCGATGATGCGTCATGACACTGCATGAAAACCTAGCTACGTCACTTCAGTGTAATCTTGTTTAATTCTCCGCACCTGGGATCCCGGTCCCAGATACCAGGCAACCGCGCCCGCAGCTATAGCAAGCATAAAAAAATGAGCGGAGATTTTTTTTTTTCATGAGATTGCATTGTAGTGCGTAGTATCATTCGCATTTGAAATATTAACTTTCAGAGGCGGATTTAGGGGGGGGGCAAGCCCCCCCCCCCCCTTTTTGTGGGAAAAATTTGGTTGATTATATAGGGAATCACTAAAGCATGACTGGAGCGGGCCCCCTCTTATGAAAATTTCTGGATCCGCCACTGACTTTTCTTGTATATGTGTTTACTTTAATGATTGCTGGTAGTTCTTTATGTGGTTTAGTATTATACTGGCGTGTTTGGCCAGTCCAAATATTTAATAACTTAGGTGAGCGATACAGACTCTAAGGTCATATATGCGCATCACTTGGCATCCATCGTCAAGTTTAGGAAAAGCGGATAGTTCTTATATGTCTAAGTTTAGTTTTTTTTAAAATAGGTGTATATTAAAAATACTTTTTGTAACTTTCAAATTAATAGGCGTATCTTAAATCAATCAGTATAAATTTCATATTCATTTAATTCCTTTCTTTATTTTAATTGAGTTAAATATAATGTTGTTTGCATATTATTGAAAATTTAGAGCAATATAATAAGGTAAAAAATCAAGGGACGTAACTCGATTTTCAAAAAGGGGGAGGGGATAATACATGCAGACTTTTAAATGGTTATAAAAAGGTCACCATCTCAGCTAGTTCGCCTTTGGTAATATACGTGTGACAATTAAAAAAGGGTGTGTATCCCAATGGTGTCACTAATTGTGTCACCTGAGTCCTCAAATATCGATTATAAATAAAATCATTTAGTTTTGGCCTCTGATTATACTGAATGTCGAATTTTCAGTACACCCATGCTAAATTTTTTATTTCCTAATGGAAATTTCAGTTGTAATTGTTTAAATGAAAGCTTGTAGGATTTATGATTCAGAGCATTAATAATAAACACGATTTACATCTATTTTCATAAGATTAAAATGTATTTAAGTCCGATTTTTGGGTAATTTGTGTGCGTACAGTTTCAGAAAAACACATTTCAAATGATTTTTTTCCGATTTTCTGATCGCCTTGATATCTGCAAAAGGGACTTTTTAAGAACGTTAATAATTACTCTAACGAAAAATCGTAGCTTCTTTATCATTATATGTAACATTTTATCTACAAACTTAATTCAATCCGCGTACATGAAGTTCATGTCCATCCTGTTACCGCTACTTAAATCAACCGTTAAATTATTCTCCCTATGAATATTGAATTAGTCAGTGTTGATTTCAAAAGTGCAAAGTAACCTTTACATTTAACACGGCACATTTCTTGAACGACAGTGTAGAGAAAAGAAATTTCAAGACATTTAGTGAAAAAAATAGAGGGTACTTTTTTCATGTCTATGCTGTTACCAACAATTTTGATTAATTACACCAAAAGTATACTTGTAAAAAGTGCAATAACGTGTTGGAAACCAAATTCACAACAGAAAAACATTATCACCTCACCAAAGGGAGTAGTTATTTCACAACAGCATTCGAAAATGAAGAAATTTGTCTATCCTGTTATGTCTATCCTGTTACTATGGTTGCTATGGTTACAGTAACAGGATAGACAATTGTAGACAGAAACGTCGTTAAAAAGTTTATCATAACATATAGTTGCAAACAGAATGAAATCTTTCGTTGTTTGGACTCCTCTTAAGGTTATAACGTCTTAATCTTCCCTATTTAGCATTTGCAGGTGCAATACTGATATCGGTAACAGGATAGACAAAAAGGTAACAGGATAGAACTTTATATAGTGATATATCATTAACGTACGTTCCTGTTACCAATGAAATAAAGACAAAGGTAAACTAACATGTGAGGGATTTACTTGATGTTGGGTTTATTTGAAAGAGAGAAAAAATGCCGAACAATATGAATTGCTATCTTAGACTTGCATTACTGGTGGTAATTTTTACAACCTTTGAAAACCAATTTTTAGAGGCATTTTTCAGTACAACCTGGAAAATTGGCAAATAATCTATTATTTCACAAAATGAATATATATAGAAGTTTATTCTCTTGAAAACCATCTAATTGGCTACGAAAAACAAGCTTAAAATTTTATCTAAACCTTTTCTTAATAACCCAAAATTTCTTTTGAAAATGGTAACAGGAGAGACAAAATATTGTACCACCTATCAAAAAATGTTTCACGATATTCTTGTATGACATTATCTTTTAATATGTTGTTCTATAAGTACTGTTTGTTTTGATTTGCTTATGTAGAGGGTTGTTTGAATAAGTAACTTTTAATAAATTTTTCAATTTCAAAATTCGACATTTTTTGAAAGTGACCCATAT